AAACAATTACCAGCAAAACAGCGGATTAGGTATGAGATAGGCATTTAACAATTATTAACAGTATTAAAGCAATAAGCAACACACTATCGCAATAAAAGTATTGCTCTGCTTGCTAAAAATAGCAATATAATGTTGGTCACCAGAAGATAACAATGTCACCTCTGATACATTTTAGTTGAAATGTTTATTATCCAGGTCCATTATTATTTATGTTTATTTTAAGCCAGGTACCGCTGGGTCGACTTAGTACACTTAGATCACAAGCTTAGTTATAAGAAATAAAATGTTTTTTTTTACTTGTATAAACAACATACAGATGATTCAAAAGAGTGAAAAATCTAAATCACCTACTTGACTTAATGTCCTATAACCCCTCGATGAGGCTGAGGGCGTCCACAGTGAGTCTCCATCGAGTTCAGTCTTCGTATATCACCTCGCTCCAAGTCTTTCCGGCTCTCTTTGCCTTATCTGCAACTGTATGAGGCCAAGTTTGCTTGGGACGACCACGCTTCCGGTTTCCTTGGAGTTCCAATCAAGCGCTTGGGAATATAATTGGAATCTCTTCAGAGTGTATGGCCTATCCATTTCCTCTAACGTCGCTTGATCTGCTAGCTAATCAGGGTCTCTCGGCGGCGCTCGCAAAGTTGCTCGTTAACATAAATCAATAGACATTATAAAATGTGGACAGAGGAAAATGTTGTTCTTGTTCCATAATTACACTATCTTTAATTCGTGTTTGTATATTACTGTTGGTATATTTAAGTGCTCCGTCCTTAAACCTACGTATATTATAAACTTTAAAAAGTATGGAATTAGATAGATTGAAGATGTCCTGTGATGTAGTGGTTATTTTATTTATAAATTACCTGGCTGTGTGTACGGTTATCTATTTTTCAAATCAATAAAGTTAACCAATTTCCGGGGAATTACTTATGTGTATAAAATCTGCACTTATTATATTATATTAATTTTCCACTTAATTATGATATAATTTCCGTTAGAAAAACTAAATCAACTTACCATTCTAGATTAACTACTTAAACTAATCGTCAATTTTGCATATACAGCAATTAGCGTAAAATGGCCTAAATCCTTGTGAAAGTTGCATAATATGTATTGAGTTGTGAGCTTAGAAGCTTGGGGCTTGTGCAAGGCGCTACTGTCCATATCTAACCTGCTTTACCACACATGTAGAGTCAGATCGTAACTTACAATTTGCATGTAAACTGTGTATAATACAGCGAATATCATAATATTATGATCACCACGCCTTTTAATAAAATAACGCATAATAATCGCTATAGCTGTATTGGATTAATACGTAGACTGTAATGCTAAGGGTGTGTGTAAAACAATACATATTTAGCCGTTAAATGCCTAGGAATCAAGTAAATTTATTAAATCCTCCTTTCAGATTTAAATATGTACATAGTAGGCGCATAACGGCTTTTATTAAAAAGTCTACTTAAAACCGCGTTTTTTTTATTTGCAGTATGTATTACAATAAATATTTAAAAAAATTAATAACTAGAAATATTACTTATTGATGTTGAAAAAATGTTGCACCGCCCTTCGTCCACCGTCCCAGTGGCTAGCTAGTCTTAAATTCCTGATTGCAAATAAGTCTGTAAATCCTAATTATTTTGCAATCATTTATGAAGGAAATTAGCATAAGTTAATTTACATAAAATGTAAAGATACAACGACATGCGCAAAATAAATTAAAAGTAGAAAGCCTCGCACTCCCAAAAACGCGAGCGCAGACTTACGATATTACAAAAACCAACTACATTACATTACTGTTTTCGTCACTAAAAACAAAAGAATACTTACTAGAAAATCCAAAAGCAACTGGATGCAACCATGTTGGGCCGTGTGATGGCCTACATACATTTCTGAGATCACATTTTCATATAGTATTTATTTAAAATCAGAGTTTCAATCCCTTTAGACTGCGCCTTCAATGTTTCTGCATTTGAAGAATGGCAGGGGCCTAAAGACAACACAACCAGAAACTAAAAGAAAAGCTGAAAAATTTACTTTTATTTTATCGATTTTATTATAGCTTGTTGTGTTTTTTTAACTGTTGTATGTGATGTAAATAAGTTAATTGTATAGTTTAAAATAAATTGCAAGTGTAATGTGTGGGCTGAATGCAGTGTATGTTGTAACGTTACCTACGTAGGGCCACGTGCGATATCCAATATCCTTAATCATTATTGTCTGGGCGAGTCGACACCTATTCACCGCTAATAGATTATTTTAATGAAGTAAACTTAATTGTATTCGTACAATATTATATAGATATATAGAAACAATAGCAAACTATATTTTGGCCACATTTTGTCGTATTTAAAAAGTTGATTTAAATTTGAAAAATTTCCCTATTTAAGTACCTTTAACTTCATTGTTGTATCAATCACATATATTATGTACCTATTTCACTCAACACTTTGGTCATTTAAGCCTAACAACTGTATGGTTGCAGCGTACGACTTTTGTATTCTTTATGGGCTTATAAAAGGTAATTAGTTATTATTAACTTACATTAAAAATAATATGTGAATGATATTATTCCTCTAATGTCGTAAATTTTATTACAAAAGTCGGATCTAAGCTTAACATGTCCGTGGGAGTCGTGAGGTCATTTTGTGGGAATGTCATGATATTGATTTAATCTTGAACTACCTTTATAATTGTTTATTATCGAATACTCATTATTTATGTTGAACTAATTTTATTCTTTCTCTTATATTTACATTTTAGGTGTACACAACTGACTTTATTCATGATACCCAGAGAAATATATTATTAATGTCGAAACGTTTTTTTCCTACGATCTAACATGAGGTATTTAAAGAATCTGTGGCGCTACAACCTTTTTAGTTCTGACCCTCAGATTTCTGTATCAGTTTCATGATCATTTGTCAATCTAATAGGCAAGTAGGTGATCAGCATCCTGTGCCTGACACACGCCGTCGACTTTTTGAGTATAAGGCAATCCGGTTTCCTCACGATGTTTTCCTTTACCGTTCGAGCGAATGAACACATAGAAAGAAATGCCGTCGGGGGGGAAATGTAGTCGGGGATCGAACCTACGACCTCAGGGATGAGAGTCGCACGTTGAAGCCACTAGGCCAACACTGCTCTCATATCATTTATGGTGTAGGTACATGTATAATATACACTTACTGGTCCTGCAGTATTGTTTTCACTGATAGAACTATCGATTGGAATCATGTCGGAATATTGGAATGACATAGGGATAGTTAATTTAGAAATGCCCTTGTACCAGCATAAATACACACATTGATGCGGTAAACAATAACTCTTTATTGTTAAACATTGGTTGGAAATACATATAAACAACTATTCGCAGATCGAACGTGCAATTCTATACCCTGAGGTATTGTGTTCGAACCCCGGCTATGCACTAATCCACTTTTATTATAACCCTCAGTGAAGAAGCTATCGTTAAGGAATTGGCATATCATGGCATGTTAGACCCAAAAATTACCCTAACTGTTGTGATCTCTGGCAGAATGACCAGCGATTTGAAACACGTCTGCTCCACAGCATAATGCTGTGTCAGGACTAGTTACATACTACCACAGCGACACACATTACACCTTTTTTTTCTTTGAATATTTTTTTGTCTGTGTCTACTTATAAGTTTACGTGTCTCTTTAAAATAAACTGACAATGAAACTGTATGATTAGTAAGGAAATTAGTTTCTTTCTAAAAAAAAAAAAAAAAATAAAATAAAAGTGTTTAAAACATTAATGAGGCCGAACAATTAGTATATTTTGTTTTCAGAAAGAACAATTATAAATATTTTTAAAGTAAAGGAACAATCTGACCTCACTTAGATTTGAATGTTTTTCCTTAAGGGCCCAATTCGAAAAAGGGGGTTTTTTAAACCCCCCCAAAAAAAAAACCCCCCCCCCCCCCCCCCCCCCCAAAAAAACTTGGGGGGGGGGTGCCCCCCCCCCCCCCCCCCCCTGTGTTAAAAAAAAATTTTTTTTTTAGATTTGAAAAATTCAATGCTCAAAACTAACCTTTTCGGGATTTAATCCTGGAAATATAAAAAACTATCACATTTAAGAAAATAAACCAAACCTTTCTGACTATTAATACAGAACGAAAAATACAGAAAACGATGAAATCAACCGAATAATATAACGATAAATTAAAAATATTCTTTATATTTTGCAACTTTTAAAAGCTTATGTAGTTTCACCGTATAAACTTTAATATCAAGCAAGATACTTGAGTAATGATTCTGAATATACAGAACACGAAACAAAAATATAAAAAATATATTTTTTTAATAGACACTCCACTAATTAAGCCATCAGAAATTCTGACCGTATTGGCAAGCTTACTACCGGGTAGCGATCTAACAAGCTCATTTTGTATTATCACAGTAGTTATTGTACATACGTATTATAGGGTCTAATAAGATTTACCCGTAAAATATATTATTTATTTAAAATTGGATTTTTTTAAGGATTTTGAATTACATAGAACAGATGCCGAAATAATTATTTTTATTTATTGAGAAACACAATGCACTCATTGGTCTGACACTTACTGATTTTTAAAGGTTTTACAACATCCTATGGAAGAATTATCATAAAATAAACAGACTAACGACGAATTTAGATATGATTTTTTTAAAGTAATTACGATCGTGAGAATAAATGCCATCCTCTGGCGTTCGCTTTATTTTGACTTCTTTAGTCTGAAATAAAAATATTTGTCCAAAAGAAGAATAAACGTAAAAAAATATAAAACCATTTTAAGATGCAGTTTCATATAAAAATAAAGCATTTTAACTGACGCACATTCTCTTTATTGCCGTTTTATACTGATGTCCCCAAAATATTTAATGAAATAGTTCAAATTGTGAAGTAACAGCAATTCGCTTTTATTTTCACAAGTTACATAAGATTTCTTTATATCGTCCTCTTAAGGTGTATATTACGCATATTTTATAATGATAATACTTAAGGTATTTTTTATGCTGATTTTGTCATCATGAATTAATTTATCACAAAATATTTATAAGTAATATTTTATAAATGTTGTTTTATCGTGTCTTAATCTCAATAACATCTTGTTGTGGAGTAATCGCCGATAATTTAGATATAAACTACCGTAAATTATTTTACTATTATGTTAATAAGCGAAATGTAGCTGGCAATTAATTTATCACACCGGTCCAATATCATTGAACAGTTGAACTGTTACCCGTACACCTTAGATGAAGTACTAACCGCGCCCACTTTACTAACAGCGAATGTGAAAAAGTATGACCCGTTCTTACACATATGTGATTGCTATATAAGAGTTTGCGGGCACAATTTGCTCTCATTTCAATTTACGCTTTGCCAAATACGATTCCAGTTTTTGATTACCAATTCAGCTGTATTACCCTAGCACTTTAAATATTTCGAAAACGTATTCACATATTAAAAATGATTTCAGTAAGTACAAATATACAAAAACATCTTTTAAATACAAAAACATTTACTCTTCACACTCCATAATATTGAAAGATTATGAAATCCAAATTAATTAATCTTGATGACTGCATATTTCAATCAATACTTTAACACTTGTGTAAATTTTCTATTACAGGTTATCCTTATTGGATTTGCGTGCCTTTCAAATGTCTACGCCTATCACGATCCGGACCTTAACTACCATTTGAGCCAAGTGCAAACTATTCAAGATTGTGGTGATGCTGGGTACTCGTATCCCACTCCAGCCGTGCAGCTTACTACTAATGTGCAGCCGACCGAAGCCCCAAGACTTATACAACCAGCTGTGCAGGCTCCATTAAACAAATACACCATTAACAAAGGATATACACAGTTCTTTGAGCCGGCAGTACAGCAATTGTCATACCAATCACAGCCGAGCTATAGGGGAGCCCAAAGTTTCGAATCCTATAGCCTAGCGCAGGGAGAGCAGCATGGATATGCGACGTCTCAAGGCTTATCAGCAGCGTCGCAAACTAGAACCGTGACTCCTTTAGCGACATATGCACAAGCACCAATCATCGCTAAAATAACTGCAGCACCTTTGCACGCCAGGTTTTCAGTGGCACCAGCTAAAACATACTTGCCCCAAAACATTTTCACTCAAGATGTCTCAACGGGCTCTCTGGCGAAGGCATCACTTAACTCTTATAATTTTGAATCATCTGGACCCGTCGTATCCCAAGTAATTGCTCCTGCCAGTGTGCGCTATGCGACTGCTCCAACTTTACGAGTCCAGAGCAACCCTACAGTTTATACGTCAGCGTCTAATCAATACAACCAGGAATCATTTGCGACAACCTATAACCAATATAGTCAAGCAAGTAATGCCGCAAGAGTGAGTTCAGTGTATAACGCACCAGCTCAATATTCAGTAAGTCAAGTATCACCAGTAAACCAGTATGTGGCGCCTGCTGTCCAGTATACTGCACCACCAGTAGTTCAGTACACACGGCCAGTTGTTACACAATATTCAGCGCCAGTCATAACCCAACATGTCACACCAGTGAAACAGTATTCTCCGCCAGTGGTGGTCCAAAGTGCTCAGAACTACTATTCAAGGCCAGTGCTAACGCAACGTGTGGCTCCTGTGGCAGCCGTCTCTCCTGTAAGAGTTCTATCCACCGCCCAACATGCTAAGAACGTACATACGGAATTTCTGGAAAACTATGTAAGTAGCACAATTTGTTCCTTGTTTGATATGTGTAAATAGTTTAGATAAAGTCGTGGACATTAGTTAGTGATACATATAATTAATAAATTAATCTCACTGCCCTTCGCTCCGTGACGCTAGCGTATAAGTAGCTAGCTAGCTCTACTAGTAAATTAAATTTAATAAAAACCAATCATTCAAATAAAAGACTCGGCAACGCACTTGCGAGCCTTCTGGCAGTGTGAGTGTCCATGGGCGGCGGTATCACTTAACATCGCGTGAGACTCCTGCCCGTTTGCCTTCTGTTACGTACAATAATAACTCAGTCTTGTATTTTATTGTCCTTAGGTGTAGTTTTATAAATCTTCCAAAATACATAGCCAGGAAAAATCACAATTGAAATATAAGTTAACAAAGTAACAATGTTGAACTTTTTCAGAAATATTATGTATTTCGTCATTGCAATAACGTGTAGGTACTAAGACATATCGTGACGTAATTAAATTTGTTCGGTCACCAGTAAAAGCCCTGAACGGGTTTTGTGACATCGATTTAATGATTGATGAATGAACGACCCCAATAAAACTAGATCTTTTTACCCTGTAGCGCATGCCCACCAATTTTAGTGTAATTAAGTCATGTCTAAATCAGCCCGTAAATATATTTATAAAATAGTTTATGATTATACTAGCTGGTTCCCGCGACTTTGTTTGCGCAGGATTAAAATAATATTTGCCCAAATGATGTAACGCCAGATTCTTAATGCCAGAAGCGGTAAAAGTATCATTTTTCATTTAGGAATCAATTTATTACTACCGATTGTGCATTGGAAATAAATTATTAATTTTTATTGTATTTATGGTTCACAATTTTGCCTATAATGCCTTACACATAAGACGTAGTTATATATACTGTGGGCTTTTTTGTAGAACTACTATTTAAGATAAACATTTCCATCAAACATTACATAACATGTGTAACTCTAGCGGTTTTGGTAGCGCACGCCAATATCTTTATAAATTGTAGCCTATGTGTTATTCTGATATATAAGCTATATTATTGTGAAGATTCATTAAAATCCATTCAGTAGTTTTACGTGAAAGAGTAACAAACATCCATTCATACTTACAAACTTTCTCGTTTATAATATTAGTAGTAGTATTATTTGTTGACCATTGTACCCTGTTTGTGGTTTCCTATATACTTTCTTTTGCGAACTAGCGAACTGTGGAATCGAGACCCGGTGGGGGTCTTTTCTAAGAGATACGATCTCCAACTATTAAAAGTTAGAGTGTACTCCTCCTTCAAAGGCCGGCAACGCACCCACTAAAAATGGGTGTCCATGGACTGCGATGATTGCCCTTTTTGGGCGACCCGTAGGCTCGTTCACCCCCTTATTATATAAAATATATTAAAACAACTTTATACATCTTCTTTCAGTGCTTGTATATATATATTTTTTTATTTATAAATAATACTTACCTACTCTACTCCCCTGCCATTGTTTCCAGGGACTTTTTCTATCGCTAAAATTTTTACAATAAAACTTGACACATTATATTAATTACAATAATCTACTAATTATTTAAGAGCTTTTAGTGTTATAAATCTAACAACGTATATTTTTTATCTCCAATTTTACACATTACACAACTTTATCTCTAAAACATGTAATTACAATAATTCTTGACATATTGATGAATACACGATGAATATTATGCTCAAGCTGAGAATTGTTTGTTCTGTTTTGCCAAGTGCTTTATAAATATCTGTAAAATTGTTTCTCTTATTTTCGAAATGGTCAAAACAGTTTACATGCGCTTGCGAAACTATTGTTAACAATTCCTTATTGAGTGGAAACTTGTGTCTCAACAAGATTGCACTTTAATAAAGCTAAACTAAACAAATTAAATTTTGCAATGTAATTTGATCCACATTACAACTCAGCGACACTGTGTGTGCTGTTTTTTTATTTATCTGTCACCACAATTTTGTCATTTTATTACAAAAATACTAAATTTTTTGAGTTATATTATTATACCGCCTTTTATGTTTAGAATAAAATACACGAAACGAAGCAAGTGTATTTTGATGTTGATTAATATATTAACTTCGGTGAAAGACTGCTTTAGAAAAAGGATTAAGAGTAAGTACTTAAAAATAACGCTTCCGGGCTCTAAGTTCGTGTTAGACAAGTTTAGACTATTCGTTCACAAGGATAAATTATGTACAGGAAGGTGAATAATTCAGTGGTCAAATAAATTATGATACTACTTTCACTGAAAGTAGGTCAATTCTAAGACAACACAAATCATAGTTATGGTCCTAGTTCGAAAACAGGAAGGTAATGGATGCCGCGTGACCTACCACTCCTTTTATAACAAAAGCTTTGGCACTTCTATCTCGCCTCAGAATTATAAGCGGTTAATGTTTGATTATTTATATCTGTATATTTAAATATCATATAAACTTTTAATAATAAACAATTTTTATCTAAAGTTTAGGAAGTCTAGTCAATTCAGCTCAGCTCAGCTCATCTCAGCTGGAGGACAGGAGCCAATTACTACTTATGTTATATATAAAATAATAATTGTCAGTGGCGCTACAACCCTTTATGAGTCTTGTCTTTATATCGCATTTATTTCTTCGATTTTTGTTTCATAGACAAGTTCTCGGTTTTCTGTGGAAGATGTATGACAATGCTTGCATTCACCGTTCGAACAAGTGTAGATTACGCAGCTATAAAGAAAAATCGAAGGATTTAAATACACGACCACAGGTTCGAACGCTGAAGCCACTAGGCCATCAATATAAATCTATTAATAATATTCAAGAGAGTTACATTTCAACTCTGTTAATATTTGGTACCGAATCAATAATCAGTAAAATTTGCGCCTTTACAAAATTTCGAGCAACGACACTCATAAATTATATTACGCGATTTCAGTCCCTCGTATAACACTGGTAGCCCCCTTATAACGTGTGGATTTCTCACGTTTTATTTCTGTACTGTGACGTTTATGATTTGTACGCCCATATTTCATTAATGACAGTCTTTCTTAATATTCGATTAAATTCCTCTTTAAAGAGAAAAGCTAAATAAGGTTAAGACTTAAGTGTGAATTATTTGTACATAACGCGTTATATAGGTTCATACATGATACAAGCACGTTATTCGATAGTACTCCTACAACGGGTTTCCTATAACGCGGAACTTATCTACCGTGTTATAGGAGGGATTACTTTACACTGCTTCCAATGAAGTTCAATAAAACTCCTGGTTAACTTAAACGTTAGTACTTTAATTCACTATTTGTATCTCATCGATCAGCTTATTTCATAGAATTTACTTACCTTTAAAAACGTAATGTTTTCAGGACGCCCATCCTCGTTACGCTTTCGAGTATGGAGTGAACGACCCCCACACTGGTGATATCAAGCAACAGAAAGAAGAAAGAGACGGAGATGTTGTTAAAGGTATATGAAACAATATATCTCTAATATTTTTCAAAATATATAATATAAACAAGCTTTAAAAAAGAAAAGAAAATATTTATCAAGTTTCAATTAACCTCTTATCAACTTAGCGGCAATTGGGAAACTTTTCTCTTTATAGACACTTAAACCTCGTCGTGTCTACGATGTAATTTATGTAATAATACCTTCTAAAAAAAAATTTAATATATGCGCTAAGTCGACATTTTTACCTTGTCAGGTCAATACTCACTGGTGGAACCGGACGGTTCTGTTCGGACTGTCAACTATGTAGCTGATTGGGAAACCGGGTTTCATGCTGATGTCCACAACAGTAAAGACGACAAGCATTAATTATTCCTAAGACAAGGTTTAGATCAAGGCCAAAGGACCAAGGGTTCAATCAGAATGTTGAATGTTTAAATTTGGTAGGCTGTTATTATATATTATATAATAAAATTGTTACTTTGGATCAAACTTTTTAAAATCATTTAATACATTTAAATACTCGGAACTATTGTAAAGTCATTAAAAATTCATTAAAAATTATTAAGGTTTAATATAGCTTACAAAAATAAGTTTATTTAAAGGATATTATGTGAATATAGATATCTTCTCACACCTAATATCAATCAAGAATGAAATGTTTAATTTTTATTTATCAACTCCAAAAAAATTGATTCTATTAGATAAAGTTTATGTGTAAAATCTTTGTTTGTTTCTACCTTTTTTATTCTATCATTTAACAGCTATAATTATTGTGATAGCATTAATGTTTAAATATCACTAAGTGCAATGTACATTGTTGAAAATAAAATACTATTTAATAAATACTATATTTGTCTTTGTAAAACCGTAAAATTTTTAGCACCCAAGTTATACTTAAATTATACAAGAAAACATAAATCATTAAATAACAACGAACTTAGTAACAGATTTACCATTATAATAACACTTTGGACAAGTAAAGTCTGTATCAGCCATCTTGTTAGCCTGCAAAACAAACAAATTTAATTAATCTAGCACCAAAAGTGTATTAAGATTACTGAGAAAATAAAAATGAAATTGTAACTTTTATATAAAATTATGGCAGAATTTGAGCAAAAAAATGGTTAGTGAAAAAAGACAGATGTATGCCAATGCCAATTTTTTTAATACAGTCAATTTTTTAAAGTATGTAGTGAAAATAGTAAGTAATTTTTTAACCTGCAAACAATAATAACAGAATATATGAGAGCAACCCATGACGTGTGGCAGTGTTGGTTTTTCAGAACAAACTGCACAAACTGTGTTTACATTCATAGTTGCTTGTGAAGTTTTATTTGATGGTCTTGCATAATTTCTCCACCATACATATTTTAATATTTTTGAGAGCTTCTGCCGTAATCCAAACATATTAACTAGAGATAATGATGTTCCAATTAATTCCTGAAATGTTAAAATTTCAACTTAATATAAATCTATGTTGTTCTTCATGTTCCCAAATATAATTCACATAGATAATTTGTAGTTGTTTTTATGTTGCAGAAGTATTAACATGGTCTGTTTATATATAAATGAAGTGGCAGACATATTTAAGCTTATATTGAGAATGAAGATGATCAAGAAGTAAACTTAAAACAAATTATTATTCCAAACAGTGTAACAGAAACTTACAATAAAATTATGCCATAGAAGCTCCCTGGTCCATGATAAATCAGTCAAGTCTTCTCTAACAACCTTATCAGCACATAATTCTAGTCCAAGAATGAAATCTATAAAAGCTGGGTGTTTCCCACTTTGAATAAAACGTAAGAAATTAAAAATATCACCAAATAGTTGAAATGTTTCCAAGCTATTTAATACATTTTGTACTTTTGTGTTAGATGTGAATGTGTATAATGATCTGTCTTTTATATATTTTAAACCAATAGTATAGCCATAGTACCAATATAATTTGCTTTTTGAAAAATTTTCAGTTTTATATTTTATTGATAGCATCTCTTGGCCAAAACTACACTTCCTATCCCATAAAGAATACTTAAAAATACAACTTCGTAATATCAGTTCTAGTTCAGGTAAAAGGGGTTGAAGAAAACCTGGCTGAAAAGAACAAAGTAACAGCGATAAATAGACCATAATATAAGGCATTCTAATAAGTGTTTTTTTCAACTTACCTCCAAATATTTGGTAGCCTGAAAAAGCAGGTTTTTAAAAAGTTCTTCCAGCTCTTCATCAAGTTGTAGTGAATCAAGCTAAAAGTTATTAAAGTTTTAGTGTTTATCAACTCGATAATTGGCTACCAAAGGTGATATTTTAAAATGTAATTTTAATATTACCTGGGTTACTCTTGGAATAAATGTTAAAGACATTTTTCTAAATGTACCTTATTGCTTTAGAAAGAAAAGATATTAAAGAAAGATTGAAAAATTATTATAGCTATCTTTTTTGGTTTGGACATTAAATTCATTAAAATACTTTGTTTTCGTGGTATGGTTATTGGTTCTATACTCTATCAGCTATCTACGTTTGTTTTCTATTATTTTTTTTTATGGCTTTTTTTTTTTAATAGCTTCACGCAGAGCTTATTGCCACAGACAAAGGTAAGGAAAACGGAATATTAAAAAAAAGAATTGTACATCGAATGAAAATTACTTCGGATAAAGGATAGGATCAGCAGGTTATAAACACACATGGCCCAATCTCATATGGATGAGAGACGATGTTTCCTTTTTATTAAACCATGACTTCAGTGGTATTGTGGGCTGTATAGATGAAAAATATTAACCCTTAATTAAACTGCTCTTCATCCAAAGGTCAGTCCAAGATTGTCGAAGGAAAAAAGCAGGAAGTGAAGCCAAAATGAGCCAAATCATGATAATAATTTTTATACGAAATAGCATCGCCATCCTTAACAGCTTCATTTGCTAGTTGGTCTGCTCAATATATTTTATTATCAGTTTTTCATAGTGTCATAAGTCTGAAAGTCGTGCTTGTTTGAAGTAGGAACTCAAATTCTACTGTCACAATCTTACCTGACAATTGACATAACAGATAGATAGAGTATGAAGCTATGTCAATTGTCAATCATTCGCTATCTCATTATTTTCACACGCTGTACGCTGATGCCTGGTATTACCAATTTTGTATGAGGTGCTTTGCTTTGGCTTTCACCGTGGCAGTGCATGTTGATCAGTGTTTTATTTATTCATATGATTTATTTCTAAAAGACAAATAAGTGGTTATGGAAAATTTCTGAATTGAACAAAAAAAAACATCAAGATGGTTGTTTCTCCGCAAAGCCCTGCTAGCGAAACGCAAAGTGTAAAATCTAAAAACAACATGGCTTCCAAGCCAACACAATCCGTTGCGGATACTCGAGCAGAATTAGCGGAATTAGTGAAAAGGAAAGCCGAAGTAGCTGTAAGTACGATCATATTTCACGAAGTACCACTCTGCGAGAGGACTTCTATATCTTAAAATCTAGGGCACCTTTCTTGAACTCAGTTTTGATTTCTCTACCACCTAATTAAAAACAAATTATAACAGTATCCTATGTCTGATAACCAAAGTTATTTAACATCTGAGGTTAGAGATATCTGTACAGATTTTTAGTGGGATTATATGTAATTCTTATTTTGTAGGAAACACTTGCTAATTTAGAACGACAAATATATGCGTTTGAAGGATCCTACTTGGAAGACACTCAATTATATGGAAATATTATACGAGGTTGGGACAGATACTTGACAACAAATAAAAGTACCAACTCTAAAGCTGACAAAAGAAATAGAAAATTTAAAGAAGCTGAAAGATTGTTTTCAAAATCATCTATTACTTCTATGGCCGTAAGTAATATAAGTTTACAGCTGTTGTTTTGGGGATCTCATATATAACTTCCTGAGTGTTCTGTTTGATTGAAGCTTTATAGAACCTTATCAAATATAATATCCTGGTATAAGGAAAAGTCATTATTATTTATTTATTTACAGGCTGTTAGCGGTTTAGTTGATGCTGCTGAAACCAAGAGTGAGTAAAGTATAATATATCAGAAGAAATATATGGGTGCTATTGTTACTATATTTCATCATATTTACTATATTTATTTTAGATGAAAGGAATAGTGAAACTGAATCACAAACTAATGAAGACTCTTCAGACACCCAAATAAGTACCGGCCTGAGTGCATTAAATCATACAACGATTCATGGTTCCACTGAAAGCTTAGCCTCTAAACCCTCAGGCAAGCAACAATTAAATGGAAGCTTAGAAAAAGTTGCAACTATGATGAAACAAAGTACACCTAAAATTGTTACAAGTGGATTATTACAGAAATCATTTACATGTGATTCAAAGCTACTGTCTGGAATTGGTCTTGATAGTAGGCCGGGTACTCCTAAAGAAAAGGATATTGCTCTTGGCCTATTGAGTAAAGGTGACTTTACACCAAATGCTCTTAAACATAAACTATCTAATAGTAGTAGTAATAGCAATGTTAAGAAGAATAACAATAAAAAGGCTAGATATAGATAAAATAATATATTTATGAATTTTATGAAGGAATAACATTTAGTTTATATGTCAGTTATTGCTGTTCTAGAAGTACATTGTCTTTGGCATCTTGTAAAGTGTACTTTAACTGATTCTACTATCAATTGATCTCAATATTGTCTGCTTAAATCTTGATTCTGGAAATAATAGTTGTAATAACTGTGTATCTTATTTCATTCTTATTAAAACATTTAGTAATAAATTTTATTTTTAAAATAGTCCATGTTAGGAAAAACATCATAACACTTACGTTTTAAGATATTTGGTAAATCTCTAATTGGTCCACAAAATCTAAGAGTAATATAAAACAGTATTGGAAGGAAACTAATTAACCCTGTACAAAGCAGAAATACAACTTCAGGTGTTTTTCTTAAAACACAGCACTCGAGGGTTTTACTCCATATTGATCTTGTTGCATTCATCTAAAAAAGTTTTTAACTTTATAACAGTAATCATATTATTACCAGAGCAGTAATATTTCATTGAAATTTTTAACATAAGGAATTCACACAGTATAAAACAACTTGTCATTAATAGTCTAATTCCTTAAATCTTACCGAATCCACAATATCCATACAAACACAATCAACACCAATTTTGTCTTTACTTAACGTTTTGTAAAACTCATCCAGTTGTAAGTAATTCTGCATACATTTCTCACATACTATAGTTTTTTCACTGGCCATGTTTAATACTATACACTCCATTGTAGCATTAAAAAGTTTGTAAAACCTTGTTGTACTGTTTTTAACTGTAGCAGTTTCATTTGACCAAACAAAGCAATCTGTAATTGTTTAAAACACATATTTCATTACTACTAGTGTCCTCATTGCAGCCCATAGCACCCATTTTTAGTGAGTGGGTTGCTGGCCTATTAGGGAGGAGAACACTTTAATTATGAACAGTTAGAGGTTGTATCTCTTAGGGAAGACCCCCACCGGGAGTTGATTCCACAGTTCACTAATTCTCAAATGCCTTGTGAAACTGACTGTGGAAGACTTTCAGCCAACAAGGTGATGTTGATGTAATTTTGAATTGATACGGCTTGTAGTGTTGAAGGCAGGCAGGTCAACCCAAACAATTATATAGTACAGTTTGATATGAAGCCTATCATTATTATAACACATTTAATACCATGCATGACCAAAAGTAGAACTTACCATTACAATTTCCTTTATCCCATATACCTAATATACTGTCATGATAGTGTTGAATTACATTTAATCTATCTTGTGACATTAACAAAGAACTACATGATGTTCCATTAATAGCAGTACCCTTCAATTCCTTGTACTTATCATGAAACCTGACATAGTGTTGTACACAATTTTCACATAATCTTATAGGCCTTGCATTAATTAAGGAGCAAAATGTGAAATTGGATGCAGACTCAGCAAAGGCATTCAAAATTTCAAAACAGACTTTTGGATATGGAACACTGCTGTCTAAAATATTCCTAAAATTAATAAAAAGTTAGTTTCCCATACAATCTACCTTTAACCATAAGGTAAATTATAATATTATTTTGATATCTCTAGAGTGGCAAAAACCATTACATCATGACTTAAAAAAGTCATAATTTCCCTTTCAACAGATTTTGAGGATTAGCTAAATAGTTAATATGTTTTTGAATATAGTGCGTAACAGCAGTTGGGTACAAGGCAAAGTTCTTTTGTTAAATTATTAGTAATATAATACTGACATGGTATGATTAGAATCTATAGTATTTGGTAATTCATTGTAACAGAATTTTCTACATACTTTCATGCTGGTTATAAGATTTATTACTTACAATTTTGGTTGTACTGTTAATAGATCATTGCTCAAATCAGCGTATAATATTTTTACAAAGAAGCAAATGACCAATACGACGTATTTTAACATTTTCACTACATGAATTATAACTTGTAGACCATTTTAGAAAGATTTTTTAGTGATAAATTACGCGACGATTAATTACTTTTACATATCACAATTTAACTTAAGTTGGGTTTGACTTTTATTTAGTTATCGATTTTTAACAACAACAAATAAATCAACTATTAAAAAAATCATTAACATTTCCTGGGGCCTTAGTCAAGATGCCTTAACAGTAGTGTATGTAGAAAGTCGAAAACTTAATTTGTATGGAAATGACAGTTCGTGTCGAAAAGTTTTCATACAAATTTAGTTTTTGACGTTCTACATACACTACTGTTAAGGCATCTTGACTAAGGCCCCTGATCTGTATTCTGTCGCTATTTGTAATTTTGTATGATACTTTTTAGTTTTAAGCCATAAGTCACAAATGACAGCAACTGCTAGTCAGTATAATAGCAGTTATCAGTGTCATTACTCATTACTGTTTTGATTATGTCTCTGTGTTTTAACTTTTTAAAGTCCATGTTTACACTTAACACTCCTACTTTGGGAAAAGTTTTTAATAGTAAGTAAAAGCCTTAAAATAACTTCATGAGAAATGAATAACGATATTGGTATTCCAAGGAAAACAAGATATAAATAAAAGAATCATTAAACAAACAAAAGTTTAAGACATAATGAGTATAAATGAACCGACACCTGAAGCCTTGCAGAGAAAATTATATTTTCTTCTTGAACAACTACAAGACATGGCCAGAGAACTACCCCCGTACGTACTTTAATTTTTCCATTTATGTAACTGCAATGACAGCTTGTTCTATGGTGTGGTAGGTAAATACCTTGAAATTGCTAATAAAATTATAGCTAATAGAATCTAGTACCAACTTACTCCGATTATTAGTTATATTCAACAATACCAAATATTACAAGATCTTAGATTATTTAGAAAAATAATACATTATTTTCCAGCAAGTACCAAATGAGAGTACCTATAGAATTGTTATCAGGACTAGCAAATTGTCTCTTAAATGATACCGTTTTTGAAATAGTGAAAGGTCTTATGGAAATTCAGCATGTTACTGAAAAACATTTATTTCAACAAAGATTGCAAATTATCAACAAACATACTTGTAAGTAGCCTGTAACTATTGTATGTGTTAGTCTCTGTCAATATTATAAAGATCTACCTAAGTTTCTAACAAATATATTCAATACCATTACTGGACATCATTTTAATTCTTTACAGTTTCAATTTTAATTCTATACTGTTAACTAAACTGCATTTCCAAAATATATAAAAAAATGCTGCTGTGTGAAGCTTCCTGGCTTCTAGTATTTTAAATAACTGTGATTGTAAACTTTATTTTTAGCAGAAATTGAAAGTTTGGTGAACTCATTACTAACTCCTGAAGAAAAAGAAGACCAAAAACATATTCTGTTAAAAAGACATAAAGAAGAACTTAAACTGACAGACATGAAATTAGTTATACAATTAGATCAAAAGGTACAGTAGACTTTATAATTCAAGTCACATTCAGTAAGGTTCAAATATGAAAAATTACTTAAATAGCTGCAATTTTAAATACCTATCAATAATTCCAAATAATCTATGGCTTGGCATGATTTAAAACAGATAATGTTTTTACAGGTTAGTGATCAACAAGATACATTGGAAAAAGCTGGAGTGCCAGGATTTTTTGTCACTACCAAACCAATAGAAATCAAAGTTCAAATGTACTTACTTGATTTTATTTTAAGATTAAGTAAGATGTATATACCTCAAGACTTATAATAAAAACAAGATAATCATGTGTCTTTACAACTTTGGCCTATAATAACAAATTGGAAAAATACTCCCATCAATTTAAAAAAATGCTTTTTAAATTGATCGATTGATTGATATATCATCATGGGATGGGCATAAATAAATTGAATTAACAAATCATACAGCACAACACAATACATTCTTAGATCCTACAAGAGCATCTCAAATTTCTCTAGAAGAGTACAGTAATAAAACACAATATATTTAGAAAGTTTTAATAAAAATTGCTACAACAACTGCAAAACAATGTACATAATATATTTATAGTAATTATTTCATCTAAATATTACAAACCAATTATACAATGTTTGAGTTCCCAAAACTGACTTTTGTATTGAGAATTTTGAATTCAAAATTTTGTATAGGTATTTATGCTTCAGACTTGACAAATAAAAACAAACTATCTAATATCACACAAAAAATTGCACGTCAAAAGCGCTTGTGCCGATTGTGATACCAATAAAATACACTGCACATATATGGTTACAGAAATTATTATAAGGAGTATAAAACTGATAAAACCAGATTGATGCCAGATCAAGTAATACCGTCACCAAAGTGCCATTTTTAGTTTACAAACAATAAATATATCTCTCATTAATTTTAAGTTACAAAAAGTAGTCATAGAACAAAACCAGCACTCGTTAAACAGTAATACAACATCCTTATATCATAAAAATAATGTTATACAAGAATATTTATTAGAATACACACAAACTAGTTTCTTTAAAAATATACTTTATCTTGTGCATTGGAGCGTCTTCTGGCACTTTAAAGTAATAGGTGTCTCTCATTATAACATATGTGTGAGCTGCAATAGCGCTTGTAATTATACTTTAAACTGCTGAATGCATTTTTTGCTTACGCTTTGGAGTCCAATATAAAAATTCTTGAATTACAAATATGCCTACCATAGTTAACAAATTATAATATTAGAGTAATCTCAAATTTTACAAAATTAACTCACACCACACAAAAATTTATTGTTAAACCCTTTGGAAATATCTGAAAAAATTTAACTATTTGTGCATATTTTTCTGAAATCCAAGAGAAAAATAGAATTTATACAATTTACACAAATCAATACAAAAATACTTTTGGAGGATACGCTATGTAGTTTTTTTATATTCCGTTAGGTAAAGAACAAATGTTCAACAATGTCATTTAACATAGAATTAGTACTTTGTCATTAGATTAGTATACGTAGCACATATTGCTACTTTTTCTCTGTTCCATACGAAGAACCGTGGCTGATTTGAGACATACCAATTGATTTTTGAAGGAGTATGTAAACTGAAAGAGAAGTTTTGAAATTCTTTAACCCTTTACTATGTAAGTTGTAAAATATATAGTTCTTCGTTCAAAACCAAACAATGTCTCATACTGATATTAAAATAATATTACATATTACTAATCAGAAATTTAAAATGTTAGTAACTACAAGTTGACAAAAACTCCTTAATTATACCTAATTAGTAATTACCTTTCTTATGATACAAAAAAATATAAGGCCAAATCAAGGTAGTTACTCTTTGATGATAATAATAGTTTAAATAAATTGCCATATTCACGGCTGGATGGAATATTTTGTATAGTTATAATATGAAATACTGTAGTAAATTATAATATTTGAAATTAATTGAAAATTATCTCTCATCGAGCTTCATAAAATGGATACTTACAAGCTGCGACAATAGCGGCGCCAATCGAGAAGTAGATGAGTCTTCCGCTGAACAGAAGTCCCACTAAGTAATAAAGCATCGGAGTTAGGGTTACGATGGCCCATCCCACCGTGTTTAACAGCGAATAGATGCGAGGGCGACGGTGGAACGGTTCCACTCTCTTCACACCAGACTCTTGGAAGAAATCACCCGTATTCGCAAACGATTCCATCATTTTGTCCTGGTAATATAATTCTAAATGAAACTCGGATACTTTGTAAAAAAAATCATAAATTCGAACCGACAACTTGAAATCTTTTGACGCTGTTTTGAAAAACAATAAATTTTACAACTATTTGACATAATTTTAAATTTATCCGACGTTTCGCGTGCTTTTCCGCGGGCGTGGTGGCAGCGCGGTATAAAGCAGCAAGGTAACAAATTTAATCTGTAAACAGACGCGTGATTGCGAAAAAGACATGACCCAGTGACCACTTCACATTTTCTAGTAATCTGGAAACAATCTACTTTTATAGGTAATAATTCGAATTTCCGAAAGGTCTTATATTTAAGCTTTTCATTTACTTCACCGAGTGAAACTAAACTCACCTTTACGACGAAGAGATCGTGCAGCCATTTGGCACTTTCGGCTTCTCCCTCTGGAATCTGCTCCACTGGTATTCGCTCAATGTACAAGTGCGCATGCACAGGCTTACCAAACAACATGCTCATTAATGTCGGCGGGACCTACGAAGTAACCATATCAGATTATTTCTCCTTAATATAAAAGAGCGAAATCTATTTGGACGCCGTATAGGTATTCAATATACATACTAAACTGTGATTTAAAAATGTACGTAAAAATGATTAATGGATAGCAAAAGGTTTTCTAGTATCAGTTCATATTCTAAAACTTTTATAATATTTTTCGTTGAAAATTTACCACACAAAAGCTGTAAATAAATTGATAAATAATTATTTATGTCACACTTTTAAGCATTGAATTCTCTCGGTTGCAATTCCCGGAGCAAAAAGTTTGGGTTTGATATAACGTTTACTTTTTAAATTATAAATGAAACAGAAAAAAAATCACTTCTAGGGACCTCAAACCAGAGTATTAATGTTAATATAATAACATAATCAAACCCGAAGAGCAAAGTCCAGTAGATATAATATAATGCTTACTCATAAAAGATATAGCGACAATATTGAAAAATCATTATCGTATTAATTAAGGTACCTATTCTTACGATTTTTATTACATTAATTATAAAATGATGAAATCTTACCAACTTGTTACATAATATATTTTCGTTTAAGATTTGAGAGAATATTTTTGTGCCAACGAACGTTTTAACGGAGGATTTAAACAAAGCATTTTCGACAATAGGTCTTCGCCCTTTCCTACGACTTTTATGTGTGTCTTTCACATAATTCAATAACAAACATTTTCTTTAGAATTCTGTTTATAATTGAGTTTTTACATTTAACATAATAAATCTTCACAATGGATAATGCAAAAGCTACATCAAAATAGAGTCACGTCATTAGATGATGACGTCCTGACATTTATTTGGGCAATGCCATTAACTTGTGGAGTCAATAATAATTAATTGCCACAAAAATTACGTACGTAGGTAAGTATAATTAATTAGTTTCAAAATATTCTACACATTACACTCTTCTCACCTTGGCATCTTTCTCGAAGGCCAACTGGATGTTGTAAATAACAGGTATTTTTCCTCTGAAGTGAGTTAGACTCGTTGTAAATCCTCTAGTGCGAGGTGTCAAATGATGCTTTAGAAGCGGTAAATTCTTTTCCATAGCGAATTTCAATGACGCCTCGTGTTTCTTTTCGGTGAATCTAGTTCCTTCGGGTGTCAGTAATAGCTGAAAGTAATTATAGAAGTTTTTCATATGTTAAGGTAATATCATCGTTGTAAGCTGAGGAAGAATGCAAATCAAGCCGTCATGGATCAGATGGCGTCTCCGCGCCATCCCATGGTTACGACATCAGCGACTGTTGAGAGAACTACATTGAACTTGCATACAAAGCGTCGCAATCAATAAAATATTTTGAATAAAGCCTATTAACGCAGTTGGTTTCATCGCCACATATTCGAGTCTCAACTAACAGGCTGTGAAGCTTACAAAATACCACTTTATTACGAAAATTAATAATAGACACAGAAATCAATTCTTCTTAAATAAATTAGATATTATAATTAGAGTAATGTTAGCGATTAGATTAGGTGGCGACAAACACCGGATGTCCTCATTTTTTATACGTGAATATAATTAACACCTGCCGCACTGAATAAAAATTTTTAAGTGTTTGGGAAAGCATGACTCCGAATGTCAAAAATGTATTTTGACCTACGGGAATCATAGGTCACGCCAAGTCTTGACCTTTAATGTACCCATAAACTCAAAAATCGATGATGTGTTAGGCAAACAAAGCTGAATACCTACTTACCAATAGATAATGATTTCCAAAAATAATATTTATAGATAATAATTGCATGTTATTGTAAAAAGTAATGTACCTGCACTAATTATAATTAATTGCATTGTCATACAAATCACGATAAATATTTATTACACATTCTTTAATCATGTCAACATATTTTGTTAAAATAATGTAAACTTAAAATTTTCAGTTATATTATCACTTAGTAAAAAATATTGCAGCCTATTTTGTGTACTATTAGTCTCTAATTACTATTTATTTTGATTAATTAACAGTATTACATCTCGGTACGTAGATGGCCAGACTTTGCGAGAACTTTTGTAGGAAATAACACCATATTAATAAATGTTAATATATTGTACATAAATTCTTACCCAGACAGGATCGGGGTATTCGCAAATTTTCCCAATCTGCTGCTTTATAATTTCCTTGTCCTTCTCGAAAGATCTCTCTAAGAACACAAACTCGGAAAATTTCCACATCCAACCGATGGGTGGCATATATTGGATGGACTTTTTCGCATATGCTTTACAATTCTAAAAGTAAATCATTCTAACATGTAATATTAATAAAAAATTTAATCACAGAAATAGGGTTGTGACAAAATTGATCCAATGCCAAACTAGATAGTCACTATATTGTGGGTAACTAGATTACAATTATTCCATGTTACCTCTGTTAATTATTACATCTACATATATTTTAGTTAATAATTAGAAGCGTAAACCAAATGTTAGCAATCATCAAGGTCATGCTTCAAACAAAGTGTTTCATTTAACATATCTAAAACAACCTCCACCGAACTTAAATCTTGAACTTGTTACCATAACAATGTTTTTAAGCAAAAGTAGTATAAATGAGTATGCGAAAGGGTGTGTGTACTCTGTATTTGAGTGTGAGATTGTGTCTGAGAGACGTATAAGCGTACGTTATGGCTGTATTAGTTTTTAGAAACTCGAGAGTCATGCCAAAATATGTAGAATCTCAGAATCCATAGATTGGGAGATTTTATTATAAAGGAACGTATAAATGTAAAAAAGAGTTGCAAAATTTTCATTACGTATTTACGAACTTGGGTGTGTGTTGGGTAATAGATAAAAAATATAAATATAGGTCAAATTGTAACAAATACGATTAGTTACATCTATAAGAACCAATGCATCAAAGAAAAAGGCAAAGCATATTCTTATATCATAATCTTATATGAATAAATATGAAAATTTAGTAATTTAAACAAAGGAGTACTTAACGTTTTGAAAAGTCTATGAATTAAAAGTGGTATTTGTGTAATGTTTATGTATCGTATACGGTTATGCAATTAAACTCCAGAGTAATATAAAATCTTTCCGATTGTTCACTCCTATAATCTGTGCGGAAAAACCGTAGAATTTGAGTAGTGCAGCGAGCACTACTAAATAATAAATTACCTCTGTTATGTTGACGACGAAATAATATAATAGTCGACAGTAATCATCTTGATTATTTGATTTAATATTTGAAAAAAAAAAAAAAACTTTAAATTCAAGCACTATATCAGTTCGCATTACTGCTACGTCGGTTCTGTTTCTGTGCGGAAACTTTCGTTTACAGCACACGTTCCCAAATAATAATTATATAGAAATAAGCTTTCATACTTAAGAAATTTACAACTCAGAAATAGGATCGCTACTTTCAAACCACAACTATAATATACAATTTCTAAGTTATATAAAGCGTTGATTCAACTGCAAAAGACCGAAACTGAAGGCATACAATTCAACACATATTTATATTTTTAAATGCATAGAATCATTTGATAAACTGTAATAATTTGAAAGCCCTGGGAGGAGCACTTGACAATAATGACAAGCTAGCCACAATTGACATAAATGGGTATTAACAGTAAAAGGCAAACCAAAGCCTTTGGAACATGTTTACTTACTCTTGTTCTCAAAGATAAAACCTTCAGTAAACAAAAGATATAATTTTCTAAGTAACAATACATTTGAGTAACCACTTAACAAACCTAAAGTTATGTTTCAAGGTTTCTCTACTAAAAATAATATGCAATTACAATACCTTTAACCAAACAAGGCAAAGTTCAAAATGTTTTAAGTATTTTAACATACTTGTCATAATTACTTTTATACTTATGCCCAACTCATAAGTACCATTTTAAGCATTGGACTTCTCAACAATTATAAGTATGTAGTTTGTAAATCATTATTTTGCTCACATTGTATGTCTGTATAGGTATGTAACCTATATATTCACAGTCAAATTTACGGGTACAGTTCTATTTGATCATAAACAGTATTGCTTATTAATAATTAATATTTAATACAGCATTATGCATAGTTTCTATCCAGTAGTAACAGAGAGCAATCTATGAATATAAATTGTCAAAATACTAATAGATATTGTGTATTATGATTAAATAATAATATGGATATATTGTATTGATAATTAATGATAAATGAATGATAAGGTTTTGCAAAGATTTGTTAGGTAATACGATACCATTAATAAAACCCCTGATATTAATCACCTACATATTATCACAATGTGACTGATAACATTATAATTTCAAATTATATAATCTAATTAGGAAAACCTTCTTTGAATTACAATGATTTTACTAAATAAAGTTAAGACAGTTTTCGTAACTTCTTAAACTGTTTTGATAAAATATCATGTTGACATTAAAGTAGCAAAGAGAAATCGAAAGTATTGTGTACTGTACAAAGACAAGACAAACAGGTAAAATAATAATAAAAACTTACTCCTAATACTCCTATACCATCACAAAATTGCCATCCCATCAGCCAATCTATCTCATAACTATGATTCATGATAAGGTACCCATGTTCTTTACCATAGTATTTATCATACTCATCTTTGTTAACATAAATTGTTAAGTTTGTTCCTGCCCACCATTCTGACATAAACACCAATTCTGAAAATATTAAAAAACTTACAAATTCTGTATAAAATATAAAAATTTTAGGTATAGCAAGAGTAGTCTAGTAAGACTCAGAATTACAAGATTTAGATTGTAAGTATATGATTAAAGTAAAAGTTATTTCTGCATATAATATATATATATATATATATAAATAGAATGGATATAATTTGTAATTACTTACGACATGCAAATGAATATGAGAGGTAGTAATTTATTTTTCTGTACAATGTTTTATTAAATGGTCGAAGGCCAAAATATAAAATTGCCTGCACAAAATTCAGCAGCAGGCCAGAGGTAAAGTATGATATTGCAAAACATAAATGCACAAGTGTTGACTGCTTTAAGAAACTTAACCAGAACATTTTGTCAGCTCCCTTGGTTATTCATGTAAACCTTAAAAAAAATACTTTATTACACAAGATAAATATTGCAACAAAATAAAACATTCAAAAAATTTATACACTATTTGCATACTTATTACATTGTAGGAAAGACGATGACTACATATAGCAAGGTGTTTCTTGTTAAGAATTAAACAACACAAAAAATTAAAGACGTACTTAGCACCTATTACACAAATAATTCCAATTTAATCAACAAAGACAATACTAACTACAATTCCTATATATTATATTCTGAAGAATATTTGTTACATATTAAAAGTGATCAATTCGATAATTACAATAAATACCTGTTTAATATGAATTCATGGAACAATTGATGTTGGTTGGCTTCGATTCTTCAGTACATTACACAATTTAAGATACCTAAGTATTGTGTGCGTGAACAAAATGAATGAAAAACCCGAACAATCAAATTCAATTAACGTAAAAAATTTATATGCGAATCAACGAAATTTTTTGCATATTTTTCTTACATTATTTGACACACCAAGACCATAGGACTATGAAATGAAGTATGAGGCAGAGTACAAAGTTAGGCAAGATTATCTTCTATCTGCGATCTTGGAACAATCAGTGTATTGACGACGTTTGTTCCGAAAAATTGATATTGTGATTTGTCAAACTTGAGAGCATATTTTTGTCTATGTCACGGTTGATAGATAGATAGTTTTTTTTTCTAGTTGTTGTTAAAGTAAAGAAACTGTTGAAGTGAAAACTTCTTTAACGGCGTTGTACTCTTTATTTAATGTAATATAAATTGTCATGTTTTCGTACGATAGCGCAATAAATAAATATTGTATTCTACCACATAAATGATAGTACTTTTTTATTGATAATTAAAGCAATTCGTGCAAAATTATTCCCTAACCATTCCAAAATATCAAATGTGCACAATGTTAATATTCAAGTTTTCACTTCTGCCGGCACTCCCGGAGTGCAACCCGTCGTTTTGTTCAGTTAAAGTAAAGAAACCGTTTTAACGTGTGTAATGTCCTCTTCTTGAGTGATTTACGGCTCACCAACACCACAACACTTGTACAAACGTCCTACACACAACCGCTCCGTTCGGGTGTCGGATTACGACTGACAGTCTGACAACTGACAAGTGACGTAGGCGCATGAGACAACCAAGTAACACTTTATTTAGTCAATACACTACATCCCTTTTTTGTTTTATTTGTTTTTATTGATTATATCTCTCTGATTACTCATTAATGTAACTTGGATGTAATGTGATGGATTTTACATGAATCAAACATAATTAATACAATTAAAGTTTTATGCAGCTACACTAGGGTTAAGTTCCGACATTGATTTCCTCGTCATTAACTTCATTTCTTTTCAGACATTCCATTCCCCTTGAAGTCTTTTCAAATGTACAACTTCCCTCCTTCGAGTTTGACCAGTTTCATCGTTTCTTACCGTGATATCTCCTCCTTTCGTGATTTCCACCGTGTGTGTTTCTGGATTTATTTATTTTATTTTTATTTATTTCCTTTATTCATATTTTTATTTACACTATGTCTCCTGGTATTAAATCACACTATCCAGCCTTCCGTTTATCGTATCCGATTTCTTTTCCCATTTGTTTTCTTTTTTTTCTCTATCCATAACCTCAGTGTCTTGTGCTGTCCTCTCTATTGTATCGTTTACCATAGGTAATTTATCTCTAAACTTCCTTTTGAAGAAAAAGTTCTGATGAGGTTCTTCCAGTAACAGAATTTGTTGTACATGGTTAAATATTCCAGTAAACTTTCCTTCCAGTCTTTATTTTCAGCTATATTTATTTTAAGACGTTTAAGTATGACACAATTTTGTCTTTCGACCTCTCCGCTTTGTCGCAGCCAATATGGTACTGTATTGAAAAAGAATAATGTTTATTTCTGTTAGAAATGATTTAACCTCTTCGCTGAGTAACTGTCTTCTATTATCTGCAGTTATTGATTTCCTAATCGACTGAATATTCCTTTAAGTTTGGCTACAATTTCAGAGAGGTATTTTGCGACAAATCTTCACTTCTTTATAATATGTGGTCACCACTTGTAATGAATTGCGATATCATCCAAAGCACTTCTGGAAACACGCCGTTTATAGGGTTTGGTGGACATGGTGCAGATACTATCTCCTTTACAGGCTTAAACAATTTTTACCTCTGTCCATCTAGGCCACCAGACTTTCGTACGAAGTCTCGCCTTCATTGACACACCGGGATGTCCCTCGTAGCTCATCAAAACTATTTACGGAGTGCCGAGGGAACCACATTCCATTCCTCTCAATAATATACCCTCATGAAAACAAAGTTTATTTTGTAACATTTTATACAACTTCACGTCGTCGTTCCATATGTTCCGATATAAACCCTCTTTCACGTTTAATATTTTCCTATCGTCCATTGTGCTATCTATTATTTCTTTAATAGAAACATCACGAGGTCGGGCAAACTCTACAATATGACAAATGTGATTGTCTTCCAATTTTATCAGGGATTTCTCCGCATTTTTGCTTATTTGTTGTCTCGACAATGAGTCGGCGATATTGGTTTTCCCTGGTTGGTAAACTTTTTATAGTCTCGATTGTAAGCCATAACCCATCTCTCTATCTCTGCCACATGGTTTAGATTTAGGACCAAAATATTACCTCCAACGGCTTGTGATCTCTTATAAGTTCAAATCTTTTACAATAAAGGAATATGTGGAAATGTTCCACCGCCCACACGCAATTAACGCTTCTTTTTCTGTCTGGCAATAGCGGCGTTCACAGTCAGTCAGAGTTTTGTGGCCATATGCAATAATCCTGGGCTCACCTTTGGAATTAGTTTAAACTAAAACTCCACCTAAATCCACAGGACTATCTGCTATGACATCGTACGATCGCTAAGTGCTAACATTATAATACCCTAAGCTAGGAATATTTGTCATGATTTCCTTCAACGACTTAAAATACCCCTTTGTTCTGGTCCCCAGTTTTCGGTTACATGATATGCCAAACATGACTCTCTTGTATCTTAATAAGCCTTTTCTGGTTATAAAGGTGGTTGTTTCTTGAAGCAGATCTATTTCAAGTTGGTGAAATGCGACTTTAATATCCAATATTGTAAATACTTTTGCATTTTTCATTTTAGGTACAACTTGTCTCGTCGGCAATGGGTAATTTTCTCGTACAATGGCTCCATTTCCTTTTTCACACCGGCACTACAGGGGACACCCATTTAGAAGAACCCACTATCGGCCTCTATAATATCCCTGTTTAAGTTCTTCTTCCTGTCGAAACGACTTTTCTTTTAAATTTACTATCCATCCTGTTTACTTCTTGATTCTCATTTGATTTCGAGTGGTTTTTAAACTCGTCTAATTGTTTATTAACAACTTCAAGAGTATTTGCTTCGGTGATTACTTGCTCTAATGTAATTTCATCCCCAATCTGTGATATCGTTTTTTCTCAGTTCGGGTAGAAAACATTTTTTCGTTATTTGGTCGATAATGTTTTCATCTCTGTCGGCAAACTGACATTTATCAGCTTGTTTTCCCAGTCTCACCACAAATTTCAATTTTTCGTCAGGTTCTTGTTTAAGTAGCCTGAATGTATGTCTCTCGTAGACTTTGCTCTGATTTGGTGCAAAGTAGGCATCAAGTTTAGATATTGCTACTTCAAACACGTCTTTGCCTTCAGTTGGTTCGACATTAGCTCCAGGAATGTTGTAAAACACTTCCTGTAAGTCTAGCCCGCCGAAATGTACGAGAGATGCCTTTTTCTTTACGTCTTCGTCAATGTTAGACGCTTCGAGGTAAATGAATAGTGCTCGTTTCCATTGCTCCCATCTGCACCCATTGAGGTAGATTTACCGTTACAGTCGAACTTTTCCAGTGAAAGGAGTGACATCTTTGGGGCGACCAGGAATTATCAATTTAATGATTCAGATATCTATGTATCTGCCGTTAGATTTGATCTCAGATGCTTCCATCTCTTCAATTTAATGATCGGATTATATTTTTATCCGCATAAATCTACTTAAGCTGTCCATACCAAAAAACGTATAAATTGAATTATCAGATTTTTTATCTGCTAAGTTAGTACCCACTAACGTACAATAATAATTTTATTGTAAAGCTTTTATTTTATTTATTGGTATCAATTTAATGATCAGAATTTTAATCTGCTTTTATTTTTATTTACTGATATCAATTTAATGATCAGACTTTTAATCTGCTTTTGTTTTTATTTACTGGTATCAATTTAATGATCAGACTTTTAATCTGCTTTTGTTTTTTTATTTACTGGTATCAATTTAATGATCAGACTTTTAGTCTGCTTTTTATTTTGATTTACAGGTATCAATATAATGATCAGACTTTTAGTCTGCTTTTTATTTTTATTTAATGGTATCAATTTAATGATCAGACTTTTTAGTCTGCTTTTTATTTTTATTTACTGGTATCAATTTAATGATCAGACTTTTAGTCTGCTTTTTATTTCTATTTACTGGCATCAATTTAATGATCAGACTTTTAATCTGTTTGTATTTTTTATTTACTGGTATCAATTTAATGATCAGACTTTTAGTCTGCTTTTTATTTTTATTTACAGATATCAATTTAATGATCAGACTTTTAGTCTGCTTTTATTTTTATTTACTGGTATCAATTTAATGATCAGACTTTTAGTCTGCTTTTTATTTCTATTTACTGGCTCAATTTAATGATCAGACTTTTAATCTGCTTGTATTTTTATTTACTGGTATCAATTTAATGATCAGACTTTTTAGTCTGCTTTTATTTTTATTTACAGGTATCAATTTAATGATCAGACTTTTAGTCTGCTTTTTATTTTTATTTACTGGCATCAATTTAATGATCAGACTTTTTAGTCTGCTTTTTGTTTCTATTTACTGGCATCAATTTAATGATCAGACTTTTAATCTGCTTGTATTTTTATTTACTGGTATCAATTTAATGATCAGACTTTTAGTCTGCTTTTATTTTTATTTACAGAATCAATTTAATGATCAGACTTTAGTCTGCTTTTATTTTTATTTACTGGTACAATTTAATGATCAGACTTTTAGTCTGCTTTTATTTCTATTTACTGGCACAATTTAATGATCAGACTTTTAATCTGCTTGTATTTTTATTTACTGGTATCAATTTAATGATCAGACTTTTAGTCTGCTTTTATTTTTATTTACAGGTTCAATTTAATGATCAGACTTTTAGTCTGCTTTATTTTTATTTACTGGCTCAATTTAATGATCAGACTTTTAGTCTGCTTTTGTTTTTATTTACTGGCATCAATTTAATGATCAGACTTTAGTCTGCTTTTATTTTTATTTACAGATATCAATTTAATGATCAGACTTTTAGTCTGCTTTTGTTTTTATTTACTGGTATCAATTTAATGATCAGACTTTTAATCTGCTTGTATTTTTATTTACTGGACAATTTAATGATCAGACTTTTAGTCTGCTTTTGTTTTTATTTACTGGTATCAATTTAATGATCAGACTTTTAGTCTGCTTTTATTTCTATTTACTGGCTCAATTTAATGACAGTTGGGTTCCAACTTCTTTCAGTAGTACTCCCATTTGTTTTACAGTATTAATCACAACCACATAGTTTAATTAATTTAGTGAACCAGACCAATTAGGGTCTTTGTTAAATCTCGTTAGTTAGGTAGACAGGTACCTACGATTTAACGGTCAACGGTTGTAAATAAACCTTGCTATTATTTTTATTATTATTATTATTTTTGTAGACAAATAGAAACTCACTAAACACAAGCATAATCTTTATATATATAAATCTCTGTCACAATGTTTGTCCTCAATGGACTCCTAACTCCGACCGATTCATCAAATTTGCACACCGTGTGTAGTTTGGTCCAACTTAAAAGATAGGATACATCTCAATTTAAACCTGCAATATAATTTTATTGCAAAATATTTGTGTCTTATTTAATAGTCACCATTCTAACAGATGGCGCTGTGTTAAAAGTACCAACGTTTCATAAATTCTTTCAACGTTTCTACAATTTATAACCAACATAAACATGGTGTCCCCCGATTGGTGTACTCCTACCGTTTCCCTTTCCCGTTTACTACTTTGTAATATAACAAAATCCTACCACACAACGCTTGGCCGGTCTACTAGTACAATATATTTCTATCACTATATAGGTAGGTGCTACAAAACAATCGTACATTCAATGTACGTAGTACCCGTAGTTTAGCTTACTGAACCTATAGGTAATTATTTGTTTATATCCTTAGCTCAGTAATTGCAGAGGTTTGTTGCTTACTGTTTAAATGTAGGTACGACAATATTAAATTTGTAATACAACAAAACATTTATGAAATATGAAAAAATAAGTACCTAAGTACTGTTCATATTTCCCGTCAACAATAAAATTATCTACATTCGTTCAGAAGTCAAGATGCAACTGTTTCTGCTATCAATAGCTAATATTAAAACAACGGTCATAGTAAATTTAGGCAAAGTATGGAATGCTCACTATTGTTTAGTGCACCGTATCTTTCCTTTTTTTTTTTTTGTTATGTGTACTCACTTTTTCCTCGTCGCCACATGTAATGTCCTGCTTCTTGGAGTGATTTACGGCTCACCAACACCACAACACTTGTACAAACGTCCTAACACAACCGCCCGTCGGGTGTCGGATACGACTGACAGTCTGACAACTGACAAGGACGTAGGGCATGAGACAACCAAGTAACACTTTATTTAGTCAATACACTACAACGTGTAACCTCTTTCGAATATAATATCACCTTAGTAACGATTGTTATTTACTTTTTGACTCTATTCTTGTACGAAATATTGTTTGTTTATTTATTTATTGTTTAACAAACAGCTTATTTTACTTCTGTGACAAAATTTTGTGGTTGGTTGAAATACGCATCTACATAAATTACACGCCTCCTTCGGTTAAGTTCATTAAAAATAGTCAAGTCAAAATCATTTATTTATTTAGGTAACACAATGTACACTTATGAACGTCAATAAAGAAATACATAAAATGGTTCTAATTTTACATTTACTACCATTTAATCAAGAGCGTAGCACATCAAGATCAAGAATAGTGTAGATATCAAAATCTTAATATAAATACATATTTATAAGTAAGAATAATTATTTTGTGTTAATAGAATCGATGATTGCATCGGAACGACGCGTCGGTTATTTCAAAAGAAGTAGAACTCATCAATATTAAATATGACAAGTGACAATTATTTTAAATGTCAATTGTCAAATTTATATAAATGATTGATGCTGGCTGTATGGTATGGACTAAATCCTTTGCCATTAGGGATAAATTAATATCATCATCATGAAAGATTTGAATGATTTTAAAGTAATTATGTGTAATTTATTAATAAAAATAATTTATCTTTAATGTATTACAAATTTGACATAAAATCTAACCATAAAAATTATCAGATTTCAATCAGAAATTTGTAGTCTACATTGAGAATTATAGTGTTAACTGTTATATAATATAAAGTGTAGAGTGGACTATAATTAATTTTAATTGAATAATTTAGACAGTTGAAATAGAAAATATAAAGTGGTACACTGTCCACTTAAATAAGACGTATAGATATATTATGAAGTAATTTAAATAAATAACAGTTAATATAATAAAAGTGTGGTTTTAACTAATAACTGAGCCAAAGAAGATGCTCTCTAAATGTATTCTATGTCACGGATTCAACAGAATAAAACCTACATCTTTTAATCCTATGCATATTCCTTCTTATCGATATGCTAGCAACAAATATATAGTTCTTGGTATTGAGACATCATGCGATGATACTGGCACTGCAATAATTGATAAAAAGGGAAATTTATTTGCTGAAACGCTATTGTCACAAAATGTTATACATCTCCGGTATGGTGGTGTTAATCCATTGATTGCCAGAGATCTGCATCGTGATAATATAGAAAGGGCAGTAAATGAAACAGTTATGAAAGCAAAACTGCAATTTCAAGATATTGATGCCATTGCAGTAACCGTCAAGCCTGGTTTATTGTTTAGTTTGCAAATTGGTGTTAAATATGCTAAGTATTTATCAAAAATATATCACAAACCTTTAATACCTATACATCATATGGAAGCACATGCATTAGTGGCAAGGATGTATAACAATATAGATTTTCCTTTTCTCGCCTTGTTAATATCAGGTGGTCATTGTTTATTAACATGTGTAAGAGGTACAGATGATTTTCTTCTACTTGGGGATACTTTAGATAATGCTCCTGGTGAAGTACTTGATAAAGTAGCAAGAAGGATGAAACTAAGAAATATACCAGATTATTCTCAACTACCAGGTGGAAGGGCTGTGGAATTAGCAGCAGAGAATGCCAAAACTTTCGAAGTATTTGAATTTCCTTTACCACTGCATAAACAAAGGGACTGTAATTTTAGTTTTAGTGGGTTAAAAGATGCATTTTCTAGACATTTATATAAAAAAGAGTCTGAGCATAATATTAAAGGTGATGAAATTATTCCAGAAGTGAATGAATTGTGTGCTTCATTTCAATATGCTGTTGCAAAGCATATTGTCCACAGAGCAGAGAGAGCTTTAAAGTTTTGTATATTACGTAATTATATTCCTGTAGATAACAGTACTTTAGTAGTGTCTGGAGGAGTTGCTTCAAATAATTTCATTTTTAAATGTTTGCAATGTATGGGGAATGCAATGAAGTGTAATGTATTACGACCACCCCCCAAATTATGCACTGATAACGGAATTATGATTGCCTGGAATGGTATTGAGAAAATTAATAGTGGTTATCCTTCCACAGACATGGAATTAATAGATATTGATCCAATTGCACCTCTTGGTGTCAATGTCAAAGATGAAGTAAGATATGATAATATTCATGTTAAGTCTACAAGATTAAAAAATATGTTTATATCAGCATAAATAATTTTTTTTTAATATTTTCTAATCTATATGATATATTATATAATGAATAAAATTTTGTAGAAATAAGTAGTGACCAATAACTTTAGTTTGAACAGATTTATTCAACAGTACAGCATTACATTTGCAGCCATGATTAAATAAGACTAAAATAATATTATTTTGTTGTAGCGATTTCCATTCTATTTAGGTGCTGCATTTTGTAGATCTGAAAAATTAATTAATTATAAATCTTAAGGAAAAAAAAATAATAATATTAGTCAAAACAAGTCTATTCTAACAGTATGTTAGTCATCAGAACTCACAATGTTTTATTATTGTTCACGAAGTTGGACATTCTAATAATGACTAGATTAGGGTGAAATAATAAACTTTCTTACATGCAATTTTCTTGTAGCATGAAATAAATTTTCATAGAAGGGCTTAGAATTAAGAATTTAGTAAAAGAACAGGAACAAACACCATGCTGTTTAAGTTAAAAAAATATCGGGACACACACAAGGTATAATACCTAGACAACCTAACTTACTGTTGCTATTTTAATCTTTTTCATCTGAAATATTTTATAAAGGGTATTTTAGATAGCTCATATACTCTTATGAATAACCTTAAATGTAATAATTGTTCAAGAACATTTGGCCTAGTAACTAGCTAACAAGGTATCGTAAACATCATTTCAAATTGGCATGCCTTAGACAAATGCCAACGACTTGCGTGTCAAGCACAAGGCTGATCTTCTACTTGCCTCTAACTAAAAACATAAGACATTATATAGAAGCCGCAGGCCAAAACCTAAAAAGGTAAGGCACCATAGATTTATTTTGTTCTTTTATAATTGTTAGATTAAAGAATGAAATAATTAGAGTTTACACAATAGATGTGTAAATCCTGATTAAGTTTCTTCAGAAAACGCATCATTAATGGCGATTATTTCAATTTTGTATTGGCACAATACGTTTAAATAGTTTTCTTCTAATAAACTTACGCGCAGGCTTTCCATTAGCCCAAGGTGTGATTCGAACATGAGACTCATCACGGCGTATGGCTTCGGTTTTGAGCTGTGGTTTTAAAGATCGTCTCAGTATATTAGCGGCAATGTTAGAGTAGTTTATGTAACTGAAAAAAATATATATATTACAATAGTAAAATTAACCTATTTAATATTTATAAATAATTATAGCACTTACTTTAATCCCGCTTGCCTCCAGGCACTCATTTTTAGCTTTCTATTTACGCAGGTAAAATGAAAAAGTACAGTGGAAAACTGATAATGTGACCTGAAAACTTGAGAAAATTGAATTTAGAATCCTCAGTGTGATGTAACAATTTCTCATAGATAAAGGTAATAATCGAACACTAGTAGATAACTTGGCACCAAGAGATTCTACCTTTTTGGACAATGACAGTTAACAAACTACACTTTTCATTTTTGACAGCTCCTAGTCTGTGCAAAAGACGTGAAACGTCGACGGCTCACGGCTGATAAAATAAATCTGTTTTCTTTTGCGCAAATAACAAAAAAGAGGTAATCAATTAATTTAAATTTGAATCTAAGAATGTTTCAGATCAATGTTTGAATTTCTTATTTTGGATTACATTATTTAAAAGGAATATACAAATACTTGGTTCTACAATATTTACAAGCAGCGATTGGCTTTAGTTCTCTCATGATTACTCTCTTTAAAATCTACCAGTAGGTATCTTATAAAAAGAGTAGTAACTTGTTAGTTTTCTGTTTGGTTTTTCAACTTCAAGAACTAATCATTCGTAGCTTAGCACAAAATTTTTAATAAATAATACTTATTTCAGATACTTATACAATGGAACCAAATAGTGAAAGGGACTTACTAATAAACCAAACACAAAAAGGAGTTGGAGTAAAATGTGATATTGTCAATGAATGTCAGATGTTTTTGAAAGCAGAAGAAGGCGGAGGTGATGCACATTCAATAATGCATGACCCTGCTTCAGCAACTGATAAAAGTATATAGTTCTTTTATTTAGTTTATAAGTAACCTTAAATATTGTTAATAATAATATATGTTGTTACCGTTAACAAGTCCAGTTTTAGTCATAATGAAGAATTAATATGTATCATCTAATTTAAATCATACAATCATTGCATATGTCATTTAAATTGTTATAACTAAAATTATGTGAAGTTTTAGCTTGGAATGTTTTGTGCCATAATTTTTTTGTATACTATTAAAAATATGCATTGCTGCTCCTACATGCTTCTTCTCCAGAAATCTTTCATGTATCATACCATCCCTATATTTGGTTGTTATTTTAACCTATCAAATGCATGGTGTTAGATGTTTTTGTTTTTAATTTTGAAAAATCATGTTTACATTTTGAGTTTGGAAACACAATTTTCCAACCCTATATAATATGGCAAAATACATATACATATTAATATAATATAACAGTTTTTACAATTTTCTGGACATATACTTACTGTAGATTTAATATAATGTGAATGAATGCTTAGAAAATAACATAATAATATATAATTTAGAATGTGGTTATGTCAAAAAATCAATTATGGTTTTGTCATGTTGGTTGTATTTTTTTTAAATTTGACTCTTCTACTCTGTATGCAATGAGAAAATATCTTAGATTTTTAATTTGCAAATATTATATTTATATATATAAAGCCTTTAGTCAGGTCTGAATATCAAAATATTAGCCGAACAATAATATTATATTAATATATTTATAAATAAAAGTTTACAATCTTGCCTCTCATATTACAACAACATAATATATAGGACCTATAACTCATTGATAAATATATATTATGAGCCAGTCTTACATAAAACATAAGAGGATTATGTAAGTATATGTACTCTGTATGGCTTCTTGACCACCTTGGATTTTGTCAGTGTTGATTCATCTTTTGTATGAGTCTTTTAAAAAATGGTTTTTAAAAGGAGAAATGGTAGAAAAAAAAGTAATAAGAATTTTTCGACTTTTTTTACATCTTTAATGTACATATATGGTGTTTTTAAGTGATTTTATTGTTTAAGGTAAAAATAATTTTGTTCCTGTTCCTCAGCAAGATGTAAAGGAGTTTTCATCTGAAGAAACATTAGCTGAATCAAACACAGATAATGAAGGTGATGTCATTTATTAATTGTACGGAGCACTTCCTTACGGGTTCAAAAAACTTGAATTTCCTACAAAACACTCCAGAATTAGCACTATATAGTTTCTGTGATAGAATTTTGTAATTTTACAAATCTTTTATTGGAGTATATTTATAATATTACTACTATTATAAAATATGGTCCTATGCTGCTTCTATTTGTATTTTCACCAATACAATGAGGTATGGGGAGTTATTAGTAAAAATATTTATCAACGTTCACAGGTCACAGTTAGTTACCAGTGCAGAGCCATGGCAGGTTGAAAGTTAATGAATAATTCACCACAGCCTTTGGTTTTACACTGAAGTATTGTATTCTCAATTGTCTATACACCGTCTAAATATTATTTAAGATTTAAAAATAATAAACAATTGGTTTTTTAACTAAATTATTCATTTTACTGCAGGTACTAGTAGTAGACAGTCATTAAACGAAAGTGTCCAAGCGCAGCATGGTTCAATTAACACTGAGTCACCAGACTTTAAGGAGGAAGGCTTGCCAAATACGGTCACTGTATTGGATGCTCCAAATGGTGGTAAAGTGTATCTGGTTGGCACGGCTCATTTCAGTATACAGTCCCAGGAAGATGTATCAAGGGTAAGGTTAACTATAACTGCTGAAAATACATTTTTAAAAGGCCAGCAATGCACTCGCAAGCTTTCAGTAATTGTGAGTGTCCAAGAGCGGCGGTGTCACTTAACATCAGGTGTACCTCATACCTGTTTGTCCTCATCCTATAAAAAAAAGTATGTGCGTACAAAGTACACATGTCAGAAGTGAATTTTTTTTGTAAATTATTTATTGAGTATTTAAGCTGCCCAAATCCCATAAGTTAATTTTGCCAGTCTTTCTATATTTAATGATTAATGAATGATACTAAGGCTAATTAAAAACCAGAAAAAAATTAGTTGTTGTTATGTATATAGAAATACCACCATAAATATGGTAACAATTACCAAAATATAATATAATAAATTCATTATTATAATAATTGCTAACTTATGTCCACATTTTCTAAAATAGCCAACAGGGTCTTAGCAAAAAAGGTATTGGTTCTGTGCCCTTATAAAAATACAAAACCAACAAAAAAATGGTAACTTAGTTACTTAATAAAATAATAATGATATTGATATGTATTAAAGAAAAAAAAATTCGACAAAAACGCTGTACATCTTCGTGACGTTCCGTAGGTGATACAAGAAGTCTCACCACACATAGTGATGGTGGAGTTATGTGAGCAAAGGACCAGTATATTATTACTCGACGAGGAAGTTATTTTAAGGGAAGCCAAAAACATTAATATTAAGAAGATTAGGTATGTTTAATTATTTATATTATTATCCCACTATTTGATAAGCTATGAATATTTAAATAATTACGTAGAAATTGAATTTTGTTATTAGATGCTTTGCTTCAAAAGGAGGAAAAACAATAAATGCCAAGCTATGAGTTGCTTTGTTAGTGTAGAGTATAAATATGGAAATAATAATTAATTAATTTTAGGGCAACGATGGCTCAAAACGGAGTTTTTAATGGGTTAATGTATATATTACTGCTGAATATGTCGGCCCACATTACCAGGGAGCTAGGCATGGCTCCAGGTGGGGAATTCCGAAGGGCTATGGCAGAGGTGAGATATTTTAACAGTCAAATGAGTTCACAATTGTTTGGTAATAAGTAATTTGGTTGGATATAATGTATTTCCTACATTAGAGAGAGAGAGAGAGAGATACGACCTCCAACTGTTTAAAAACAGCGTCGTTCTCCTTCCTCAAAGGCCGGCAACGCACCCACTAATATGGGTGGCCATGGACTGCCATAACTGCCCTTTGGGCGTCCCATAGATGCTCGTTTGCCCTATGCCCTATATAAAAAATAACTTATTACGTGGGTGGGATGGTAATACCCACAATTAACTTTTTTTAATACATTAAGGGCTCCCACACAAAACTCAATTCCATCGCATCCAAATATTTCAATTCCACAACGCACCTAAAAGTTCCATCTGCTTCGCATCGCACATTCTTGCGATATTACGTATCCTTGGTGACGCCATTTTAGTCCGCTCTAACAGCTTTAGAGAAAGACCGCGGCGCCTCCCCCCTTCTTTGTTTATAAAAAATTGCGGAAAATGATGGATTTTTTAATATTTTTAATTGAGGAGCGTCCGTCCTTTGGGATACAAGTATGAACATTATAAAAATAAATTTATCAACAAGATGCGTGGAAGAGCGTCTGTGAAAGTTTGATCAAGTTCATAATGTAATAAATGAATCTAGAATCTTCTTTTTCTTTTATATCTATTTAACAATAACAGAAGTGCAATTATCTTTTTGCGATCCATCTTACGCGTTCTAAAAACGTCAGTACGGCTGACTACGAAGGAATGGTTGCCCTACCAAACGGTTCGTCGCACTAAATTATGCAAATTCGCATGCAGTTTTGTGTGGGAGTCCTTAGTAGCATATAGTCCTGGCAGGTAGGGCTTTGAAACTAGGCTGGAGTAGTCGTACGCAGTGATGTATTGGTAAAATAAGAAGTGAGGGAACGTGTAGTGGGAGCAAAAAAGTCCTATTTTCAGCAATCTATCTTTTTCTTATTCTTACTAAACAAAATATTAACGAACACAAAAAAATAAATTCAAAAAAAGATGAAAGTTACAAAGATATTATTGTTGTGTAGCGCATTTATGGTGTACCACAAAAACTCCCAATCGTTCCGGTTCTGAATAAAAGTAAGCGAACGTCGTTCCACCGCATTCCCCTCCCAATACACCACTGGTCGTACGCCAAATAATACTGTATTAAAATCCTGTCTATATATCCACGATGATAATCTAGTTATTAGATTCTAATACGTGCCAAGATGCTGAGGGTGTGTATTGATTATTTCTTTAAATAGGAGAGAGTATTATTTACATAAAGAAAGAAAGGTCGCAGTCGTAGAGCTGTCAGTTCTGCCAGTGTAAGAGACCTTTATAAATTTCAGGCGAAGAAGATCCAGAACTGCATCGTGCAATTGGGAGACCGGGCCATTGACATCACCTTGCATAGAGCCATCGCTTCACTTTCTTGGGGACAGACTTTCCGTTTCATATGGCATCTGCTGACGTACAATCAGAGTATAAGGTATTTACCGCTATAAGTATGTAAACATTATATACTTTTAAATTTAAATAAATAAGTTGTACGCTGCAATTCAAAGTAAATTATTAAATAGAAATTTAATATCTCTTTTTAATATAAACCTAATGATTGTAACTATTGGAATTCAGCTTTATCAGAAAGAAATTTATAGGGATTTATAAAAATTATAAGTACGTGACGTCACAGGCAAAAGACGTTCACTATTAAAGAACGTAAACTTGAATAATCGTCGTTCCACAACTGAGCGTTTTAAGACAGTTTCTGCCGCACACCATTGCTATGTGGTATGTACCAATACCACTTAAGGTCCTACAAGAAAAGAACGTACCAGTTCTTATAGGGCCGGCAACGCACTTGCGAGCCGGCAATGTGAGTATCCATGGGCGACGGACTTACTTATCCCATGTTTGTTTATATCTGTTTTAGTAAGTGTGAAATAAGAGAGCATTATTTAATAATGGTATTAATCGAACACTTAATACATTTTCAATTTCCATCAAAAATAATTAAAAAGAATAATTAGTAACAGGGGGCAAACAGGAGGCTCATTTCAGTTATGTGAAACCGCCGCCCGTGGATACTTCCATTGCCAGAAGGCTCGCAAGTGCGTTGCCGGCCTTTTAAGATTTGGGTACGTTTTTTTTGAAAGAAACTAGTTCACATTCTTACCCTGATTCATGCGAGTTCTTCGCCGTGTTAATTACTATATTACGGACCTCCTTTCAGTTTGGAAGAAGTAGAGAAATGTAAGCAAAAAAAGATGCTAGAGGATATGCTGGAAGAGATGTCCGACGAGTTTCCGGCTCTGAAGAGGGTGTTCGTGGTCGAGAGGGACATGTACCTCTGCCATTCGCTACAGGTCGCCGCGCTGCAGATACGTGAGTGGCGGACATATTTCTGTCATTTTTTAAGGTTTTCTAAAGGTCTTAAATTATAATGGCGATTTTTGAACAATATTTAGTTAATGGCTATTGTGTAGGTCGTGAGCCATGCCGCATTGTGGGCGTGGTGGGAATAGGGCACATGGCGGGCATCGTGGAGCATTGGGGCAAGATCACTTCGGAGGACATCGCTCCGTTGCTCATGTGAGTTTGTAGTATGTTTTAGTAGAACAAAAACTTATTAAGAGAACTCCACATTGTATGGACATAAATACAATTCAGCTTCTTCAACTTACATTATTGCTTTGACTGCCAGAATTAATAACTTATTAAAACAAAAAGTAATAGCGTCAGTCACGTGACACAAAACGTGGACGATATAATAATAAATGGTTTATTTGCAGAGAAAGTGGTACATTCAGAATGATTAATTATAAAAAAATGCACAATCAGGTATATAAAAATAGGCTAATGTCAGATTAATTATCATGATGTTATATATTTTATAACTGTTGAAAAAATGTATGTTCTAAATACTCTCCCATTAAAGGCGCCTTGCCTTTAAATATTTAATCACCATCCCCTTGAAGGCATTACACGGCAGTGATCTATAACTTCTTGGAATGTGATTAGATAGTTTGATACCCATGGCGTAACATTTTTTTAATACATCACGGTGCAACATGCATTCACCCACAGCCAGGTCGGATCCCTTGATAGATACAGGAAGGTATATAATAATGTCTTCAACTGTCTAATTGTAATACTATATTTATTTCAGTGAGTGCAATTTAATGTAAGAATGTTTGTTTACGTGTAGCATAAAACGTCTTTAGGGTTGGGGAGCGTTCAAGTATTACGTCACGCAATTTTTGGAGATTATTGACAACCCCCCCCCATGTAACGCGCCGGGGGGGCATCTTTGGAGCAGTGCTTTGGCGTGTTATTGAAATTACGTAGTCACTATTAAATCTGACATGGTTTGAAAAGCTTCTAAAGATATTTGGACTGATTGTTGCAGCATCCCCCCTCCGTCCCTTTCGACCCGTATCCTGCGCGTGACCGTTCGAGCGGCGTGCGTGGGTGCATTGATCTACGCCGGGTACAAGCTCATACCGCGGCGTTGGCTGCCTTGATCCACACAACGCACTGATAGTATGTATTACATTCTCTCTATATATTTACTTTAATAAATATTCATATACACGGAAACAAACTTAGAAAAATATTTTTAAGTCATTTTTTTCTCTTTTTGTCATGTGTTAACGTTGATAGAAAGAGAAAGACCGTACTTGCGTTCACACATATCAAATTGTAATATCTGTGACATAAATAGTTGATTAAATAGTAATTTGTATATTATCTGTATTAATATATATATTTGTGAAGCTAAAACTTTAATTGTGTAATCTAATACTAAATTTTCTTTTCAGACTTGCTCAAGACAATTGGAGTCTCAATAGTTTCAAAATCGACCAAATCGTGTCTTTAATAGTTTAGAAATTAATAATAATAATTGCGGTTAGACCGACTTAGTGCTCTTATTTGGTTAACTTATTTTATACTTCAGTTTATTTCAAATTAATTAAATATCGCCCAAATGATTTAAAATTATTTGAAAAGATTTAAAGTTGTCGAAATATATAAGAATTGACGTAAAATTGAGTTTATTCTCCAAATATAAAAAGGAAATAAATCGCTATTTTAACGATGAAAAGTTCTAGAATTACTTTTATTTTTTATTTTTCGGAGGTCTCTAGCAATCTGGTATTTGTGTTAAAGCGGGATCGAATCACGCGAAATCATAATAAAGAATGGCCATCGCTAAATTCCCATAAGCAAGTTTGTATCTGAATTTGCTTTAGTGGATAAAGGGGAGCGTTCAAGTATTATGTCACACAATTTTTGGAGATTATTTCCCCCCATGTAACGCGCCGTAACGTTTTTCTTTACCCAATAATAAAACGTTTCGTGACCACCCAGTGACTCTTTATACCTAAAATATACCATTATGTGGTTTAAAGTACTGGAAAGTCGAAAATAATATTAACAATAACGCGTAATTCAATCCCCGCCCCGCATCGTTACGTTTACAAAAGGACCAAATTTGTTACGTAATACTTGAACGCTCCCTAGAAATGATTATTTTTATTTATGCAATTTAAATTTCATCAATTACATAAAGATACGTTACGTAATCAGTTAAATAATAGTCGTTATTAAAAAAAAATTAACAGCGATTGTTCTTATCTTTATAAATGTGAATTTTATTCTAATATTTTTTCAAAGTGTAATAAAATATTTATAAATGGATAATAAACACTAAATTATGTATAATTGTAGCAAGTCCTTTATTCAGTTTTTGTTATTGAACATTATTCTATAATCTATGATTGTTTTAATATAAGGACTGTGATATTTCGTGGTTTTATTTGCCCTATAACTCTCTTATAGGCGTTAGGCGATTAAAAAGAGTGGCCGAGAATTTATTGCCAGTTCTTCTCGTCCGTTCCAAGGGCGTCATCTGCGAGACTCTGACCTCGGCTTGGGTCGTCGCGGGTAACCGGGGGCTCGCATATATGTGGAGTTGTATATATGGACAGCGGGAAATACGATAGCGCGTTTTAGGGTATGACGTCATCGCAGTGATTGGACCCGTAGATCGTAGGTGTCGCTACATATATCAATACGTAATACTCTATCTATATACATAATAAGTCTATTGATATTAAAGACTGAGATGCGATAGTAGTGATACTCTCAGACGCGTTTGAATCTAGGGACATCAAAAAGCAAATACCATCTGCTAAGACATTTTTACAATTTTATTGCGAAGTGGTCGAATTATTAAAAACTCCTTGAAAATGAAGAAATTAAAAAAGTAACAACTCATTTCGAATAATTTGACATAAAAAGTAAAAGCAACTGGGGCCAAGGGTCAAATAAACTGAATCAACAATGGATTGGGTTTAGGTTTTGGGGATATGAATCAAAATTCTCTGTAAATAAAATGTTAAGGTGGTACAAAATTAAGTAAATAGTGAATAAAAAATGAGATAAAAAAATGAGATACCAAACATGTATTACACTAAGGAACCTTTTGACGTTTACAAAATTACATGGAGTCCAACAAAATGGCAAAAACCGTAAGTAAACAATTGAACAAAATACTCTTATTATTTTTATTATGTTAAAGGAATATTACGATGTTTTATAGACGCTTTTCTTGCTCTCACATCCTATCAAAAACGCAAATGCACACTAGAACCTAACATTGAGAAACGCCCAATGGCAGTTTTACCATCGTTTCTGTATCTATCTCATTTATTGGATATTTACAAGCTACACTATCTATTCTAATATTGTATGTTTGACCGCTAGTTTACAATCAAACAAAAATAATTTTATATTAATGTTTAGGGTTGCTGCCCAGTATCGTTCGAAAATATAGCAAAACATCAAACCTTAACTTGCCACAATCAGCCACCTTATTGCAAAACGATGCCCGAGGCACCGTCGTTTTACTTGGAACAGTTCATTTTAGTAAACAATCAGTGGAGGATGTGACTCAGGTACGAACTAGCTAATAAAAATTAATCCTTATTTCTGACTGGGTCAGTAACTCATATCTGAGTATCGTGGTCAGCTGTATAATTTTCCTCCACCAATTCCGTCCTGCGTTTCTTTTACAACGGTGTATAATGATGCTCATCGTTCGTAGTATCTCCTACTTTGGCAAAAAGTCCCCTAAGATCATGGCAACTTCCCTTTTTGAAAGTTCTATAAGTGGTACAGTAAGCGTATCATAAAAAATCTCTTCTTCAGAAGATTTTGTTGTAGGAGCGTATAGGTACCTGTACGATATTTAGCTTGAATGGTATTGTGTTAATTTTGAGTGTTATAATGAGATCGCGAACTTGTTTATATCTCACAACGTACCTATTTGTAGTACAACGAAGGTCATCCTGTTTTGCCTCTTTCGTCATGTGACCCTGACCTTTCAGGTCAATGTTCAGCAGCTGAATGTTCTTTCTATGCATTTAGTATTCCACAATCGCCAGCTTGCCAGCTTGGTCAAGTTGGCAAGCCTCGTACATTTCACGATCCGATCAGATGGGAATGGCGAATTTACTTGCAGGTGTTAATTTCATCAGTAGCAAAATTTTCATGCGATGCCTGAGGGGTCACAGCCGCATGGCCAGAAGCACATTACTCACCACTCCTCCCGGAATGATGGTGATTGGTGACGGACGTCAACTGGGTTGCCAGATATATTATTTGCCTTTCTTAAACCTATTATGCTGACTCTCTTGGGAAGTTAGGAGCTTTGGTTTCCCGTTCCCTTCTGCTCCCAGATATTTTTGAAGTTACCTTGAGCTAGTTGTTCAACCGGTGGTATGGGTATACGGCCATTGTTCCTCGTCCGTTGTGTAAAAGGACGCGCGTGAGGGCGCCGCCGCGCCGTCGGCTATTCATGACGAACCACCAACGCGTGGAGGTGCCCAATCCATAAATCCTTTATTTATGTAGCATGATAAAACTAATGTGTTTTTGACAGTTTTAAGCTATTCATGAGTCAACTCGATTCGTCGCGGTGGGGCGCTAGCGTCTACAATTTATAGAACATAATGAGTGTGTTCCCATTGCCTAAAACTATATCTTCGAATTTCAGATAGTAAAAGGGCTTGATCCAAATGGAATAATGATTGAGCTCTGCCGGCAAAGAGTATCTCTTCTAGAATTAGACGACAAAAAATTCTTGGAAGACGCAAAAAACTTTGATGCGAAAAAAATAAGGTAATTTAAACTTCTAAATAATAAATAAATCTTATTTCGATTTAGGGTGTTATTATTAATTTTTTTAAATATTAGTATTATAATTAATGCGACTGAAATACTGACAATTTCAATATAATATTTTAATTTTTTGATAATTTTGTGTTGTATAGACAAGCAGTAAAGGGTCAAAATTTTGTATCTGGCATGTTGCATGCTATGTTATTGAAGACTTATGCTGACATTGCCAAAGAATTAGGAGTCGCTCCTGGCGGGGAATTCAGAAGAGCATATCATGAGGTTATACTAAAAAATATGAAAATATTAATTTTTAAGATTGCTATTACATGTACATTTAACGCGTTTTAGATGAAAAATATACCTGGCTGCAAGTTATTCCTTGGTGACAGACCAATTCAAATCACGATTGCAAGAGCTTTTCAATCGCTTAGTGTTATAGAACTGGGTCAGGTCTTATATCACTTGACCAACGCCAAACCAAAACCAATTGAGTAAGTTACTTTAACTTATTATACTTATTATTATAGAAATCTTTTTTAAAAACTATATACAATACTGGCTGCGCCTCGTGATTGAACCTACGTTAACTCCGTCGTACCGTGATTTTTATTGCCTTTGTGGAGAAATGGATAATCGTTCCTGAGATTAGCGCAAACAACGAAACAAACTCTTTAGTTATTTTTTTTTTATTTACGGTAAACGCACAGAATTTAAATAATTACATAAATGCAATAATGAATAGTAATAAGCATAACAGTTTACACTAGGTAATTATTATGAAAAAAAAATTTTGTTTGTGAACAATTAAAAAAAACAAGAAAAGATGCTTAAGGAAAAAATATGTTAATACTCTAAAGGTTTCTTCTCCATTAAAAAAGGAACGAAAACTATATACATCTATTATATAAAATTCTCGTGTCGCGGTGTTTGTAGTTAAACTTCTCCGAAACGGCTTGACCGATTCCCATGAAATTTTGTGTGCATATTGGGTATGTCTGAGAATCGGACAACATCTATTTTTCATCCCCCTAAATGTTAAGGGTAGTCCACCCCTAAATTATTATTTTTAAATTTTTATATAATTTTTTATTAATTTTCACCCCTCTACGATCAACCGCTATTTTTTATTATAAATGATATACATGGCAAAACGACGTTTGCCGGATCAGCTAGTATAATATATGTTTCTATATGTATAGAACTACATAATAGTATTACAACATTAATTATAGTGCATTGTGTTTTCTGGGACGAATTCTCTCTTCTTTTAAATGATTTTATAATTACATATATTTATACCCTGCATAATTGTATGTATTACAGTAAACAGCAATTAGAAAAATACAAAGACCGAGATTTTGTGCACGCGCAATTTGAGGAGATTACTCGAGATGTGCCGGCTTTTAAGAAAATATTTCACGTCTTTGTCGATGAAAGGGACAAATGTCTTGCGTATTCGTTGCAAGAGTGTGTGCGTACTGGTATGTAATTTATTTTCGTATGTATTAATAGGGGCCTCAGTTCTGAGCTTTGGGTTGACAGAGGTCGTCTCCTCCTCTGTCCTGTCACAAATGTCCTCCGGCGTCGGGAGTGACGACCCCATCGGCCACTGGTGAAATAATTCCTAGTGGGAGTGCCATGCTGTTGCGTCCGGGCTTTCGCGCGTTCGGGCACCGCACGCAACTCGCGTTTCGTGGAGAGACTGAGTGGCCCTTTTCCCTAAAAAGGTGCACAGAGACTACTCGGTAAGAACCTAGATCAGATATCATTCCCGGATGATACTTCTGAACATTCCTTTGTGCCACGGACGAGAGTTTTCGTGTACTTCAAGAGGATTTATTGTACTCGCCACCTCGAGACGCTTGAAGAAACAGTCTTATCTAACATCTGGCTCTGCGTAGACTGCGACCATCCGCTATTCTACGCGTGCCTGTAATAGTCCGATAGCGAGAACGATGAAACTGACTGACTCATCGAGCACATTCAAACAGCTACAGATTCCCTACTCGAAAGGGTTCCGTTGAAATTGTGATACTTGGCTATTGGCTCTGCTCTGAAAGCACTGATCACGCGGGAAGATCCTTTCACGAGTAGGTACCTACTTTAAACGAGAAATCTCTAGGGCAAAGTCAAAAGAGCACATTGTCAGATTGGACGAGCATTAAGGATCATGTTCCGACTTTAAACACATGAACACTGGGACTGTATCGTATCCCCGACCCTTTAAATTTTTGCACCCATCATTGCTATGCGTATGATAGCGCCGGGCACTTGTCGATCAGTGCCGGAATACAATTTAATGACTAAGAATACACAAGTTTTCGTGATTTCCGCTATAAAAACAACCTTTGTCACTATTTCTCTCTTCGAAGACACAGTCTTCTTAAAGCCTTAGCTAGCATCAGAATATTGAGTGGACATATCGAATGAATTTCAGTTCATTTGGAAGGGAAGGCTAAGTTAAAGTCTAAACTTGGTTTGTTCAGCAAGGCGAGATGGTACTTCAATCCGGGCCACCGCTACACACATAGAGTCATCCTCACCTCTGGGTGGTGACTCCCCAATACCAGTTTCCACTTGACCGTATTCAACGAAGAACGATTCGAATCGTCGACCATCAGCCAGTCACTTTCCGAGTGGTTTGATCCCTTGGCGATGATAAAGAGATGTGGGGCCTCTACATCTTACCATGGAGATTGTTCAGAGGAGTGGTTCGGATTAATACCTGTAGCTGAGTGCTTCATCATCGGACGTCGAGGCATAATACGAAATTCCACCCGTATCATCTCGAAGTCTGTCGTTTCAAAACTAAGCGTTTCTTAAGCCAGTTTTTGCGGCGCACCACCACTATGAGGAACCAGCTGCCCACTGAAGTATTTCCACACCAATTTAGGGTCGTACAAGGAAAGGGTGTACCAATTTCTTGGTACGAAAAAAAAAATGCACTCGCGTGCCCTCTGGAATTAAAAGTATCCATGGGCGGCGGTATCACTGAATATCAGGGGATCCAGGAGGATCAACGAGATCAAGAACGGGCAGGAGACCGTTTGCCCCCTGTTCTATAAAAAAAAATGGTTGTCTGTTAAGTCGGTTTACGGACGATAGTTTAACGTGACAACGTTATAACAAAATATTGATCAAATTTTTGCTTACTTTTATGAATAAAATTGAATAATTTTTATTAAATTATCACTATTTTGTATGGATACAAAGAAGGAGTGAATCTTCGGACGCATAGGCCAATCAAGTGGAAGAGAGATAGATGATAGAGATACGCTTGCGGCGCAAGCGTACAATGAGCGTAAGGGGACAATAAGTCAAGCTTTTTCGTGCGTGCAGCCGGCGTTCATCGATTTATTAGATTTGTTCCATGATGATACGGGTGAAATTCCATTTGTTAATTTGTTTCTTTTTTTCAGTTGAAAAACCTCGCGTTTTAGCGGTAGTAGGGATGGGACACGTTGACGGCATTATTAAATATTACGGAAAAATGAAACAGGAAGATATCGTACCCTTATTATTGTAAGTTTTAATCCTGGATAGTTAATGCTTTATTAATACGTGCGGAAATTAAAGTAGGTTCACTTAGTAGAAAAATGTAAAAAAAACTACTTCAGCTGCATATTTAATGTTTAACTTATTTATTTAAATATCTTTTATTGGAAACAGCAATAATTTTACCGTAAGTACCAACGTTTTTATACTTAAAAGATTTAAGATAAACCGTAATTTTTTTCTTTTCAGTGAATAAGCTTTGAGTCACATCTTCCACAAGGTGAGAAATCATTATATTCAGAAAACTATTGCTGTTTCTTTTTATTGGGGCTTCAATAAAAATATTAAAAAACTGTTATTCTTTTGCACGAGGCTAAGGCAATTTATCTATTTTTTAGAACCTTCAGAATTTAATTTGAATGTCATTCTTAGCGCTAAGTCTCGACTTAAAACCTAAGTTCCTATTATAAAGTGTTAGTGGGTGCATACTATATTCATATTTTGGAATACTATCTAGTACCTAACCTAACATTTGCTGTAGTTTAAAAATAATAAGTAATAACATCAATTAAAATTATGCAAATATATTCACAATTTCAGGGTCCCCCCCACACCCTTGCATAGGATAATTCTGAGGACTGGCCTAAGATTCTCATTTTATTTTTTGATATTTTCACTTTTGTACCGATTAATATTTGGTTAAAATAAATGTGTTGTTCCAAATACGAATTCGTAAATTAATTTAAATACGTACACGGAGCGCTATTTAAGTTTTCTATAAATACATGATGAACTATGTACATATATTTTATGTAATATCACTTAGCGCTCATGATTTATAGCAGTGATAAGAGTAGACCAGAGTCTAAAATAATATTGTTACGAGCTGGGCATCGGGATAACTCTACTTAACGAAAAAATACAAAATGCATTAAATTTTATGCAAAAAATACTAGACCGATACCTTTTTCATGTATGATTGATTTTCGGCGGTATAGCTGCCATTTGGAACCGTCCGAAAAGTTTGGCAAGGTGATTTTCGTAAATGCCTGCACGACGATGATTAACTGTGCAAAAATTAGCCTGGTACAAATGGTTGTTTTTTTTTTAAATCAACGTATTCGCGTCGGTATGGCGGGATGTAAGTCACACCGAAGAAGTATGGCATGACACTGCCGCCTCTTATTTTTTTATGGACTATCGGAAAATACTAGAATTTTTGTAGTTTGAAGGTCATAATTCATCCGACGAGTTCGAATAACGCTCACTCGCTTGGGCCGCCGGTACCAGCGCTATGAACATCATTTTTCTTTTTTTCATTTCGTAATGAGACCCCTGAAGAACCGCCATACTGGTACAAATGACCCACTATTTTGTGTCACTATCTCCCGGCCTATAAAGGTTTGGTCAGACAGAGGACGGGCCGGGACGGCGACGCGACGCTGGCGCGACGTGAGCAGTTGTAATGTACTAATGATAATGAATATAGGACATGTCATACCGCCGCCGTCCCGTCGGCGCTCAGTCGCCGTCCCGCCCCGTCCGCTGTTTGACCAAACCTTAAGGAAAAGGTTGAAATTCACTTAAAATATTAGAAAATACTAGTAAATCCGATCAGACCTGGAAATGTGTTCTAAAGTTCGTCATCACTACTGAATGTCAAGTTTCATTACATCAATGTCAAATTGCAAAGGCGTACTTTCAAGTTTCAACTTTCAATCAATAGTTTACTTGATTGTAATTTGTAACTTGTAAGTATTTTTAGTGAAAGAAGCGGTTTTGTACTGTAAGAACTTATAATGAATTTTTATATTTTGTTTGTTGTTAGTGTCCTATTTAAAAGTGTTTATAACAAGGACGGTGATTGTGGTTGTAATGTAAACCGTGAGCATCAAGAACATATAGGCAAAGACAGTGTATTTGGTTCTTTGTTGGACGAAGACCGGTGTCAATCAAAATTCAATTGTTTTGATAATATTGAGGAACACATAAACAATCAAATGATTTTAATACCCGGTGGGTATTACCAAGTCGGTACTGATGATATAGTCATAGAAGCAGACAAAGAAGGTCCTAAGCATTTAGTAGAACTTAAGAGTTTTTATTTAGATAAATACGAAGTTTCTAACAAGGATTTTTATGCTTTTACTAAATCTACTGAATACAAGACTGAAGCTGAAACTTTTGGAGATAGTTTTGTTTTTACACTATTTCTCAATAATACATTTAAAGAGAAATTAAAAGACTTTCGAGTGGCCCAAGCTCCTTGGTGGTATAAAGTGTCTAATACCTCTTGGTACCATCCATTTGGTCCAGATTCTAATAATTCAGGTTAGTTATACATCATACTATACTATAGTTTGCTATATTTCACTTTGCCTTAACATTTACAATTTTAAATATTTGATCTTATTTGATATTTTGCAATTATACAAATCATAAATAGACTTCTGCAAAAGTCTAATATTATAAAAATTACTTTTAATATTCTATAGAAATAATGGATCATCCAGTTATTCACGTCTCCTGGAATGATGCTAAAGCATATTGTATATGGAAAGGGTTGAGACTACCAACTGAAGAAGAATGGGAAGCTGCCTGTCGTGGAGGTCACAAGGATACTAAATATCCTTGGGGAGATAAACTATTCCCTAATAAAAAACACATGTTAGTACATTGAATGCCTTTCAATGCTTTACTTTAAAAAATAACATTTTAATAGTAATATAGCAATTCCTATCTCTATGAAATTGTCCGTTTCTTCATTTTGTGTCAGTCTATACATCACTTGATCAAATATGTATATACAATTTCGCTCAAGCTATTTTGAATATGCTTGGAAAAATAACATTTCCAGTATTTTGAATGCTGGGTATGCGTAATTAAAAAATAGATTTTGTCTTATTAGTTGGTAAAAAGTTAAATTGAATAAAATCAACATATAAAATAACACACCTTTGGAATAATGTTTAAGAAGAATAACGTGTCATGGTAATTTTTAGGGCAAACATATGGCAGGGCACGTTTCCTCACCACAATTCAGCTAAAGATGGTTATATTGGTACAAACCCAGTGCATTTATTTCCACAAAATGATTTTGGACTACACAACATGGCCGGAAATGTTTGGGAGTGGACCGACAGTGTTTGGTCAAAAGATACTGTGAGTGACTCTATATATATGTAAACATATTTGTATAGAAATTGTTTAAGCAAGCATTACATTGCTCACATACAAACAGGATGACAGAATTTTTAATAATTATATCTGCTAAAGTTAAACTAAATTTGTGTTTAATCATTTATGTAACATAAATGTAATAGTAATTCATGCACAGTTATATTAAAATACTTTTTTTTTTGTAGCCCCTAGAAAAGGTTAAAAGAGGTGGATCATACTTATGCCATCTATCCTACTGCTACAGATATAGATGTTCAGCACGTTCACACAACACCGACGACAGTTCCGCTGGAAACTTAGGTTTTAGGTGTGCAAAATCTGCATAAGCCTAAAAGGCTAGTTATATATAACTGTAAACAAATTAGCATTACTAATATAATACTAAATTTTTGTGATCATCAAGTGATTACAGATGTAATTATAATGAATGACAATTGTAGATTTCTATCATATTATATGAGTTCTAAAAAATTTATTAGGGTGCGTCCACATCTCTGGCGAATGTGCAGCTCGCGAGCAGTTTGCGAGCTACGCGCGTGCATTTTTGTTCGTGCGCCGCTCCTGCGCCGCCCGCGCGCAGTTCGCTCGCAACCTAAGCGCCGTACTCGATCAGCGCGCGAGCGGCTCGCGTCTTCCTTCCGCCCACGCTAGTAAACGGAACTGTAAGGGCGAGAATTGAGTGCGCACCTTATACGAGCCTTGCGTGAGTTGCGCTAAAGAGGAGCACATAACCAATGCCGTGACTGCACGCGCGCAGCTCGCAAACGGCTCGCGAGCTGCACATTTGCCAGATGTGGTCGCACCCTAATAAAGTAGAGAAACTCGCTAAAGATGCAAACATTTTGTTGAAACATTGTATATAATGTATGGTATATTGATAAATTCCCAAAATTTGATAATGATTATATAAGATATGAACTTATTAGTCCATATCTCTCCATAAAAAATTATTGCGCTTATCATTTATATGAATTTATGTAGTACTTAATATTATACTGTTATGTTTATTATTTCTAGTCTTCCTGTATTTAAATTGTTAATAAATGCGTCTGAAAGTATTCAGGTTTTTTTTCTAAGTAATATAGTAGTATTTCTATGCATAGTTTTTTTTTCTATTAATACAAGAGCTTGCTTGAGTTTTCAGTATTCCAGACATTTTCTGACTCAACACACATAAAAATGTCTTCAGAAGGCACAGAAGCCCGATCACTCTTTTATTTGCTATAGAAAATAAACATATTTAATACTACTAAGATTTTGCTAGGGGAGTATAGAACGATTGATAATAACACGTTTCCCTTATAGTTTATTTGCATTTTTGTAAAAAATTGCAGTATTACATAAACCAATGTTTTTATTATAACTAATGAAACAATATATTTACAAAAGAGCATAACTATGAAGCAATGCTGTTTCAAAGCACCTCACATCTGGTAAGTACAAAACAAAACGGAAGACAAACATTATACAATATTGATTTAACGGTTCTAAAGCGAAATGAGTTAACCGAAGTCAACCTGTCCAATTGAAATGCCTCGAGTCGCCCGCAAACGTATGTTTTCACTATAGAGTTAACTAATTTGACTAAATAATTTTGTACCATTCGGTAACCTAAGTTTGCAGGCACCCGAGTTGTCGCATTTGGTATAAAAACGATCACCGTAACACTTTCGGGATTTTTGGAGTTGGTCAATAAATAAAACCAAATAAATAGCCAACACGCACTATGGAAAAACTGAAAATGATCGCCCGCGTCTGAAATGACTGAATTTAAGAATGTGTGTTTATTAAGTCTGTTTGTCTGTATGTGCTCAGCGGCAGTCGCAAAAAGTCGATTTCGTTGTACACGTTCAGTTTTGAATATTTCCTAGTTACGCATTTCACCGTGTTCGATGAATTTGAGTATGCAAAATTAAGCTCACGTTAGTAATTGTCTACGGCGTAGGTATAAGGATTAAACTAATTTAGTAATAGTAAAAACTGCAACCGAACGTTTCGTATACTCAAATTCATAAAATTAGTAGTCGATTACAAAAATTATATAAATTCATAACATTATCGAGGATATTGCATTTTAACATTATTTACGGATACAAGACATTGCATTATCGCAATTTCATATAAAAATTATAAACAGTAAATAATTTGTTCACTTTTGATCAAATTATCAAATGTTCAGACTTTACAATAACAACTATCTAAAAATCTTTATAAAAACAAATTTACCTCTGAAATTGAAATTACAGTTTTATTAAACGCGAGAATATGACCGAATGCGAATATTATGCGCCAAAGTACGTGTAATAATATTTTAAGTATAATTATTCTAATTTTATTGTAGATATTATAAAGAATTATCAAAAGTAAAATAAAATACATAAAAATGATCGTTCTATAAAATTATTGGCGTTTTTAATTGCGCGTTATTTAAAGTTGGCAACATTTTACTCGGTTCACAATTTCATCACTCGTTTAAACGTATACAGACGGACACAACTCGGTCAAGGAGAAACATGGCTATTGGCAAACAAGTCTTTCTCTATAAACATAATTATATTTCATAGGTTAATCGGTTTTTTGCAAAATATGAACTCGGACGTCTCTCTCGGTCGAGTGTTACAATATCAGAGGTAACTAAACTAAAAGCGACGATTGTAAAAGTAGAAAACGCTATGCGATCACATGTCTAGCTATCGTTTGTATCGTAAAAATAAAATGTACACCGTCGATATCGCCCTTTTACACTAGATAATCACATTTACGAGTCCCGATGATCGACGACGGACGGACCGGGCCTTCGGAATAGCGAGAGCGGTCGGGTGGAACGAGGTGCGTCCGTCGTCGATCGGCGTATCGCAGGATAGGTTACGAATGTCGCCGAACGTCTTCGGACAAATCACAGACGAGGGAATGCTAGAACGTTCTCGCGGGTCAGTTGCCCGCGGGGAGGACGGTGCGGGCGCGCACCAGGCCGTTGGTGTGTCCGTTGCTGAAGCCGTTCTTCACGGAGCCGTTTTTGTACGTCACGTCCTCGCTTATGGTCGTCGTCACCGGCGCCGGAGAACTGGCGCGGACCTGCGAACATGGGTACAGTCGGTAGAAATGAGTGAGTTGGATACGAAGCGTTTCAGGTTTAAAATGTAAGGGTAAGTATTCCTTAATAAGAAACACGAAAGCGCGAAACTGCACTAAAATGAATGGAATATATGATGGTGATTCATAAATCGAAATATGCTGTGTCATATAGACATTAAGCTATTTCCCAAGAATTAGTGACCTTAAAACGATTAGTTTGAAAGTGATAGCTTAGCGAGCGCAATGATCAATCTAATACTAAGTATGCTTATGATTTATATTTGTAAGAATACAAATATTTGCTATTCAATATTATTAATCGATTTATGTCCGAAATGATTGAACATATGTCATACTATTAAATAGGGGCTTAGTCGATTTGCATTTAGCATGTGATTGTGAAAATTGATATGAATTTGGCGAATAACGATATTGCATTAAATATTACGTTATTTATTAGTATTCGAAATAGGTATTTGTAGTACATTCTGACGATTCTTAACACGCGTTTAAAATACACGATACGGATTTTTCCATTTTACACCAGTAATTCTGCTTTAGAAAATCTTTAGAGGACTGGTTACAAACGCCTCATAATTCATACAAGTGTGTCAAGTCAACAAATAATTATGTAGTAGACGAGGGCGATTTCCAATAACACATATTATTCTACTTATTGGTCATTTTCCGAACAATTAAATTGTGAAAGTACTATAAATTGAACCTTAGGACATAAGTCATAAAGTTGACATTTCATTGTCTGCGATAAATGACACGGTAGTTAGATTTTTCCCAACTGTAATTGATTTAACGTACTTCGGACCTTTGCTCCAAAGCAGATAAATAGATTATCATAGTTGGAGACTTGTTTAATACATTATTCGCGTTGTATAAATCGAATTGAACTTTTTGAAATACCTTTGATTTGCTGTAAGACTGGTTGTAGAAGTCTTTGAAGAGGAAGAAGAACATAACAGCGTGCATCCCGATCCACCAGACGAAGGCACGAGGGTAGTCGCATTCGATGAAGAGCAACTGGAACGCGTGCAGCATGATGCCGATGAATTGAGCCTGGAATTATTGAAAAGGGTTTGATGAGAAAACTTGCAATTTATAGGTTAATTGTTTTCTTATTCGTCTTTGTCTATCGTTGACTATGGATTTTAACATATTATATTTTATTTATTTTTCAAACGCCAAGGTACATTTATTGCATTCTCTGTACCTATATTATAAACAAAGTAATGTTCACGTGCAAATTCTATTTGTTATAGTGATTTTCCTGTCCCATAAATTTCAACAATTTATGCAAATTTATTAAAAGGGTAAATTTATACATTCGGGTATGATATTTTGCATTCTTCAGATGTTTACAGTAATCTATCGTTCTATAAAACAATGCATTTCATAACTGAAAATACATTCATTTTGGGGCTCCGTGGTTAAAAATGAACCACCGGAAACGCTTCATTACGTTCTCATAAAAAATTACAAAGCATATCATTTGAAATTCCACAAATGTGTAGACAGGCGGGCTCAAACGTTTAAACAGTTTTCAGATTATATTTAATATTAAAGACATAATATTTTCATTTTGTTACTATTTATACCCCCCTTGCAGTGTATGATTGCATTTGTCGTTCTCGGATGCTGACAAATTAGAACAAGGTTGCCCAAAGTCCTTGGCAACGATTCGATGTTGCGTCATAATAGGACATTCATAGATAATATCCATATCGATATAAACGAATAAAAATATCGTATTATAAAGAAAATCCTATCCATATTTAATTGAACCACAAACATGCGAGACATGTAAAATAACTGTGTATTTTTTAAAAAGAAGTTCCAAATGGTTTGGTGGAAAGAGTTATAATCACCAGAGGCACAGTAAATTTCCTATATGCAACGTTTCTTAATGAGAATAACAAATGTCGTGTAAGAATAAAAATAGTAAATTGTTTATATCTTGTCAAACATTTTGTCATTTGACGACATGTTTTATCTTAGTAGTAGAAGAGTGAGATTTGAGTTGTCTAATTTGAGTTCAAACAAAATAAGCTTACTGCAATAGATATTAATTAGAATATAACGCATGAAACAAATACAATTACAACATGAATTACATACAATTAGCAGTAATAACAATTATGCGTAATTGTAGTCAAATTGCATGTTTATATATTTGGGTCTAAGGTTTGCATTTATGTTTACTATCACCTTACGATTACGTAGATTACGTATTAGCAGTAGTGAAAAATTATTATTACATAGATTTTCGTTTTGAAATATATCTTACCATTTGTAGCGTCGTTAAGTATTTCTTCCACCACAAGAACCGCTTCCACCGAGGTCCCATGGCCGATACCATGTAGTAAGTGTACATGATGATGTGCACGAACGTGTTCAGAAGTCCGAAGAATGTTGAATGGCCTCCAGGGGTGAATTTGACTCCGAACCAGACGGACATGGGCATCACACCGTGGTGGATCACGTGGAGAGTTGATACGTGATCGAATTTCTTTCTTAGCACAAAGAAGATCTGCAAAAATATATATTTTCCCAGAATACCAAACGTGTAGCGATGGTATATTCTATATATATATAAGATTTAAGAAACACTGATCTTAAAACTTTGTTTGGAAAATCTTAATGTTCCGAAATATACCGAACAACCTGTTAGAATATTCATTTCTATAAAATTCTATGTTATCCCTATATATATATATATATTATATGTATATAATATAGAATATTGTCGGCACTTTTAATCGAGAAATATGAACTTTGAACCAAAATCTAATAACAGTTTTTAACTTATTGAAATTAGCTAAAAATTATAGTACTTCGTTCGTGACGGCATATCACGATTCAAATATAAAAAAATATAATTAGCACTATCAGAAGCAATAAATATATGAAAAGAAACTCACCGTATCAAAGAACTCTGTAAACTTTGAAAAGTAATACCACCAACATGCATGAACCATCTGAAACGTTCAATTTTTTTTATTTTCTATGTAAAAAGAAATAATACAATAATTAGTAGAAACTTTTACAAACTGCTAAAATGAATTATATTAGAATTTGAATTAACTATAAATTATATCGTATCACCTTTTTGAAGCAACTTAATTTTATTAAAGCTGTTTGGTTTTTTTAAGCTTTGAACGTGATAATTTAAACTAAATCCCACTGCTTAAGCTTACATAGAATAGATAATGAATTAAGCGTAACACGGTTTTATGCAAAATGAGAACAGCCCATGATTGTTTAATATGATTTGGTTGATGTGGTGATAAATTAATTGTAATACCTGTATGTATGATTTTTTTATTAACTTAATCCAATCACCTAATGGAATGTCTGCGGCTTATCGTAATGAATCGACCAGTAATTATGATATTTACGAAATAGGTGATAAATATTATATAGATAATAGGTAATTAAAGAATTGATTACAGTACAGTACAAGGGATTGGAGAAATGAGTGTCTCGCGGTCGGAAGTGAGGTGAGCCAGGGAAGGCTAAATGTGTTCTTGAAGTGTTAGACACTGTAGTTTGCAAGCAAAAAAGATTGAGGTACCGAGATCCTAAGGGTGGAATAGTCTTTGGAAAGTATAAATACAGAATTAATAATTCACCCTCATCGTTTGTGGATGTTTCGAGTGGTCGACCGGCTGACATTGAAAGTTATACCTGCCTGTGAACCACCCAGCGCCACCGATCTGAAACAATACACCGACACCTTGCCCTGTGTTATTCGTATTTGCATAGCATTGGTCAAACGTCGCTAATACCGGTTAATCACCAGCCTCCGTTGTGTGGCTCAGGGGCTCACTGTTCTAGTTGGTGGTAAGTAAGAGTATTCTCTTTTCAGGGTCTGTGCAAATCATGTGCTCGTGAAATACACGATCGTGAGTTATTGTTTAACTGCACTTTTCAATGACGGCGCAATTAACAGAACTCGCAATAGCAGTATTTTAATAATCACATTCAAATATAGACAGAACCAGCGTAAAGGACGCAATAAACTAACTTCTGATAAAATTTCGAATTTGCATAGACCCTGCATGTTAGTAAATACTATAATACACAGGCGCACTTTATACAATAAATTAAACTTAAGATTAAATTTTCTTAATACGCTTAACATGCCAATTGCTGCTTTATTTACACGACCTGGAAATGAACAATGTATATTTACAATGACGTTAGTTTCGGATATTCGAACAATGCAGACGGTCTTCTGTGGCACTTACTCTATTAGCTATAGGATTGTCAGTGTAGTCCACTGGCTGGCATCGAAGGCTGTAATGTTTCAGCCAGCCTCCCATCAAGCTCTGGTCATATTTGGTAAATCATTAAGCATTAATCAGTATAGGTAAGACATAATAAAGTCTATGTACTACATAATGTTAACGTAATTAAGATTGAAAAAATAAACACTACATTAAAAAACCATGCACTAATTAAGTTTTCATTTACAAGTGGTTGTTTGTTTTGTCAGTTTTTGAATTCCTTTTTTGTTTAAAGATTTCAAAGTATTTCAAAGTGAAATTTAGCTGTTGTACAATGTTAATAGATCACCTGTACAATTTTACAATGTTAACCTTACCTTGTAAACTGTAATAAAATACATTTTTATACAGGCTGTTTCTAAAATCACAGAATAATTATTCAAGGTCTTGGATAAAAAAACTACTTATTCTAGGGATATTAACAGTTTTACAAACGGATTAAACAATTTGAAAAAAAAATACTGGTTATCATGCTAATGCAGGAATCAACACAAGAAATATAAAATCCACAGTTTTATCTAAAGTCGGAATTTTTATTAAGATTTTTGAATTTATCTTAATTAAAATCTGAAAAAAAAGGTAATTATCAAAAACATATTCTTTTTTTTCTCTTACCTCATAGAACAGCCATGAGCTGAACAATACTTGTAAAAAATTGTATACTATTAACACATTTGTTAATTCAAAAGGCTTTCTGTTTTCCATATACCTCGGCCCTAAAACCTGTAAACAATGAAAACCTTTGTTAGAGTTTTAAAGTTTATTTTAAAATCAATGTTTTTATACAATAAACGCAAAAAACTTGCAATCATCTTTTATTAATATGAATATAAAATGACGAAAATGAATATGATATATGCTGTTTAAAAGAAAAGTCTTAAATTCATGGTTTACATTAGAAACATAAAAAAATAATTAATAAACCCTGTTAAAGATGTGTTATTTAAGTTCAATTTAAATAAAGCATTTTAAAAAATATACTGGTGTTTCAAGGACTTAACAGCAGATGTGGTCATTAGAAGATTGATTCACATTTAAATAATATACAAGTTTTATTTGATTGTACCTAAAGTTAAAAAGGCAATAGAAATTTATGCTTTAGTGAAAAATGAAATCATTACCTTGACTAGATAAACATAACTTAGGCATATCATTAATGTAGGAAGTGGTGAACTCATCAGGAACCATGGATTTGTCCGAGGATCTAAAAGAGGAAAATATGTTAAGAATTTATAATAATATAATTAACTGTTTTAATTAATTAGGAAAGTAAATAAGCATAGCAAATTTAATGATACTTGTCTAAGCTCAAGTATTTATTAACTGAATATTTGTCACAAGTTTAATTATAGAATTCCTATAAATATAGATTAATTAAAACTATCTCACCTCCATACTTATCCATATAACTATTCATATCACTGATGTATTGCAGTACTAAAGCCATTGTGACAGTATCTGAAAAAGGAAATCAATTATTGTATAACTCGCTGAATTTTCTATTTAAATCTAGGGAAGGGTTACTGAATGAGATAACAGCTCATACCTGTACAGTGTTCTGATTAAATGACACTATGTAGATATTTAACATGTATTGCTAAATTAACACTCAGGACATCTTGTTAGTTGCTATCACTGATAAATTACGAACATAATGACTTTTATTACAAAATCTGGCGATAACGCTAGATTTAAATGACTAGAATCAAACAATCTCTTCATATTTCAGATTTCGTGCCCATACCTGCTACTTGTTCTTAAACTGTTAATTGTTATACAATAGGTTAGATGTCAATGTCATTCTATAAATCAACTTGACAATTGATATGAAAATTAGCTTTGAGTTTTTATAGTCTGTTGTCTGTAGGTCTTGTAAAATTACTTTTCAGTTTTCATAGCATTTTTTTATTTTTAACGGCTGATTGAATTAAAAAGCTGTACCGTAAGTACTATGTTACTTTTAATAGTGACAGCCAAACTGATTTTGACGAATTTGAAACTACTCTTTCAAATTCAAATTTTTATAGCGTTCATGTTGCAAACTTGGGAGCCTGCGGTAGGTACACAAATTCAACATTGAAATCGGGATCGCAATCGGTATTAAAAGTTAGAGTAGTGCTGATGAAAGAGTTGGTACTGATTAATTTCACTGATTTTGTTTGTTTGGTTTCAACAATCGTGGCGCCAATTATGCCATACTTGTTCCTTTACTTTTGGTACAGGCGTGGCTCGTTTTGTAAATATTTCGCATTTGAAATGAAAATTGGAGCGGCTCCTCCTTCCTGTTTCGGCGTGTTGGATAGTCAATTTATAGAGAAAGGCTTTATAACATCACGCTATGACTAAATGCTGATGAAACAGCGAGGCATAACTTGTTTATCATATAAAATCAGCTGCTCTATGCCACACAGCTTATATTTCTTCGTAACAACATTGACATATATCAACAAAGCCTGAACAAAATTTATTCGTACTCCGCGTGATTACTTTTAGATATAAAAAGTGTACTTTTAAATAGAAGCGACGTAGACGTATGGTAATAGGTAATATTGCTTAAGTTTTATTTAATTCATTTCGAGACTTTACTTACCTGGTTAATATGTATTTTACTATGTTGACTTTTTCAGCTTGCCCTATTTATCTGAAAACAAAAATAAGATTGATTATAATTAATTAAACAGACATAAAGCGATTACTGAATACAAAATCTTGATTTGAGTAGAGAAAAAAAAACAGTGTAGAAATTATTAATTTTCTTTATAGACACTATTATTATTGTATAGAATTGTCGAGGTCAATAACCTTTGGAGATAGTGCAAGTTGTACTCGCCTTCATTACTATCTTACAACTAAATCTAGATATTTAGTATCTGAGTTTTTATGTCAATTTCTACTGCACACGTACCCACAGAAGAAGACTTAAAAATCTAAAAAATTCCATTACTTCTAGGCAACGTGGATGTGGCAAATATCGGAAGTTATGTGAATATATTTATAAACAACTTATTAAGATACTTTCAACTTTTATTCTAATATTTGATCGTATAAATTATATCATGTCTCGAGGCTTCGTCATCTCACTAGAGTTTATTCACGACACAATTTAACAGTCGATGAACGTTGTACTCATAACTTCCTCAGTAGCTGTTTACAAATAAAATTAGTACGGCAGATCCTTGATAACAGGCGATGACGTTACTCATTGTTTCCTAAGTAACTATGATCTTGATGGCCACGACGAGGAATACAATTATAAAGTACTGTACAAAGAACCGGACAGAAATTAGGTACCTTTGGATTTTCTGGTGCACTTAACATCTGACCTCGGGCGTTATTCGATACGATTAACTCAGGGGTTAATCAAAACTAGGAATTTGAATTGTTTGGTTTAGGAAAAAGATAAATTATCTACTACAAAACGTAGTTTTATGAATAGCGTTGATAGATAAAGTATAGCCATTACAGATAAAATTGCTTATGGGTTACAAGGATTGAAGTTCAATAGAAAATCTTAATTGTCACTTGCGAGTTGTGATAAAAGTGAAAGTAGAAATCAATGATATTTTACCTAATAAATAGTAAACATATAGACACATAGACATAGACATAACATTTATTACTAATTAAAACACGCACACATACACACACAAAATAACAATAATCAAAGAAAAAATAAAATGAGAGATATCAAAAGCAATTTAAAAAATCCGTATCGCGCCACCAGCGATTTTAAGGCTGATTTATTTTTACAGTTGCGTTATGATCTGTAAACATCATAACTAGTATTGTTATGATGTCGCATGACTTTTTTGACTAAAAAAAAACATTTTCAAAGTATTTGGAATTGATTCTCCTGTATTCACACAAGCATAAGTGCTGTGACTACCTATACTTGTGGGGACAACGAAACCAAACCAACAGAAACAAAGCATCATAGAGTCTTATACTACCAAAAAAAACTGTGTTATGGACAGCTCCGGCGCTGCGGGAAATGCAGCCCCTCCACCCTTGCGTACCAATTGCACAGGCATTTTGCAAGCCGTAGCGGCTAAGGCCAAAAAGCCGAAGCTGCGGAGGCTTGAATAAATTGCCTGTGCTTTGGTACGGTTGTTAGAGCGGGTGGGGGCTGCTCTTCCTCCGCGCCTCCGATTTTTTATATACACTCTAGGGGTAAGGCATTCAGGACCACGTCGATAGTGGGGTGCTCTGCTTCGGTTTTGGGTACTTTTTGACGAGACTGAGAACTCATGACGAAGTCATAAAAAAAAATCAGCCTCAAAATCGCTGATGGCGCGATACAGAATCTTATCCATCAAAGTTACCAGTGTACGTAATGAAGTCTTGTGTAAAGGTGTATAGTAAAATTAATAATAATGTAGGTAAATAAAATAATAAGAATAATGAAATATCATATCATACTCATGTGTATGGCTATATTTCTGGCTTTGATCTCCTCGGTTCTTTTAAAATAAAACGTTATAAAATTATTTACGTTATTGTTAAGAAATGACCTAGTTTGAGCACAGATAAAGATAAGCAACTGAAGATGATAAGGCGTCTGGCGTCGTCTCACGTCATACTCATACTGATATTAACATATTTAAAGATAACATTATTCCTGTATATACAATAAGCTTAGCTAGTGTCTTTTATGTGAAAATAGAGTATATATACTTATTACATTTATAAATTTGTATGAAAATCCACTTAAAATTATCCGTACGTTATAGAATTTTTGAAAAATTCTATTGTATAAAAGTTAACACAAATTCAACAAAAGAAATCGAATTATCAGTATTTTTTTAATAAGTTATATATCAGTCAACAATCAACATATCAGTATGAGATTCCTTATCAGGTTTTTATCAGATAAGACGTGCCGTATTGAATCGTCCGTTTGATCGTTTGATTATACTTTTTTCACATTTGACTTTTCAGCACGTAACCACGTTCCACGTTTATTTTCCTAGGTATTACACCTTTGCTGTTATCAATATCTAGATTACTATTAGAATGATTAGACAGACCGCACGGAGATAAGATTATTCAATTCGTGTATGAATCACGTGATAATTGTGAACGATTTTTAAATTCAATCAAAATCCTCACGCACCTATAGGTATAGTTACAGTATAAATGTTGTTATAACAATTTGTAAGCAAACCATTATCGCATTGATAGAGCGTAAATGTTTATTCTGAAACTCTAGATCAAATATCTGAGTTGCAGTAGTCAAATACAAGATAAATAATAATTAACTACACCGGCTGAGTAATCATCATATATCAGTGATGATAACGTGAAATCATTTGCCGTAGTTGGTCGGTAAGTGGGTTATGACGTAATAAGAATGCATTGCGACACCCATCAGCAGTGCGCTCTCAATAGCTACCGATTTTAATGGGTTTTCATACATTATCTGGATTAGGAACTGTAGGGATAAAGTGGAAATAGTCGCTAGTAAATTATTTATTTAGTAATGTTCAAAGTGGGACATTGGCTGCACGTTACGTAACAGCGAGGAACTGCTCAGGTCCACCGACTCCTTGAATATGTCGACCTTTTGACGCGACAAAAGTTTAATGTAAACTGGTTTTAGAATTTAGATCAAATTGCATTTATGTGCAACGGACTTATGTAATGCATTTATTGTCTTTCGTGATGATGGCGACGTAAATAAACTGTCGTTATTTTCTTAGAATTTACAAGATAAATCGGAATTCTTTTCATTTTTGTAAGCTCATTCACCGATTTATAAAATGAAGTGCTATATAAATATTTTCGTTGGCGTAAATCGATCTTGATAAAATAATATTTTAATATTGCGCTAGAAGGTAAGAATTTCACTTCTAATAAATATTATTTGTTTATAATATCTACTACGATAGAAATTAAAAGTGTTGACAGTGGAAGTTGACATTGTCTGTTGGACCCGCACTAAACAAAGTTATATGGATATATGGATAATGTAAAAATATAGAGTAATAGTTTGGTTGATATACCGATGTAAAATCAAAATAAATCACTGGCTCTATGGTGCTATACGTCAATAACTTATCAGTTTCTTTAAGCGATGCAAAAGCCCGAAAGGGCAGGATAAAATATCCTCAAGACCTCACTTGCATGCTATGAGAGAAAATCAGACGCAAAAACGAATTCACTGTGCACTTAACGATGATTCTTGATTGGCAGTGTTAACTAAATAATTCTATTCCTATGCTAACATTAATACATTTAAATAAGAAAATTAATGATACTTTGAATTGCAAGGTCGTAGGTTTCACCTTATGTAACCCTTTATAAAATGTAGATGGTGTAATAATTACTCTTATTCACATACCGTAATATTATACACAATTGTTTCAAAATTAACCTGAATTATACACGTGAACATTCCATATTTAATTTTGTTACAAAAAAATACAGTTACTTAAAACAGGTGTTCGA